AGCACGCGTTAGGAGGTGGAGATGTGGGTTGGGTGCAGCGGCGCTCCTGTTACTGAGGAGGAGCGGAGAGGATGAGAATGTTGGAGAAGCGTCTGACCTCTCTAACTGACGTGAAATGTTGACAGCGTCAAAGACAACACAAAGCTCAGAATATTATTTCTGTAATAAAAATGACTCCAATAGCTACTGAGCATTGCTAATCCAAAAAATGTTCCAAAATCAAGCTCTGACCATGAAATTTTTTTTTTTTTTTTTTTTTTTTTTTTTGGTAACAGGCGTCAAACTCATGACCTTGCGCTTGCCAGGCAGGCGCTGTACTGCTCAGCTATATCCCCGGCCCCTGACCATGAAATGTAGACATACTCTGAAATTCATGTCAACGAAAGAAACTGGATAGGAGTCACTTCAAATCTGATTATCTTAAATGTTCAGATGCAACTCCAACAACTTACGTAGAATGTCAATTGAAACAGAGAAAAAATTCCTACAGCATGATACCACAGCAAGGGTTGGCAAACTATACGCAGAAGGCGAACTCCAAGCACTGCCAGTTTTCCCCTAATAAATTTAATAACGTGTAGATCTCCCCTAATCCACTCGATTGACGTGTGCAGTTGCGGGCTCTTCAGTGTCTCAGAGGGTGTGCGGCCATCGCAAGTGTTAGAACACGTTTGTCATTTCCCAAAGGAGCCCCGTGGCCGTTCCCAGTCACTCTGGGTTTGGAAAACTGGTGAAGTGACTGCCCCGCCCCTTGCCAGGCAGTCCCGAACCCATTGTCTCTCTTTACATATTTTCCTATTCTGTGCCTTTTGCATAAATGCAATTACACAACATGTGACTTAGTGAGTGGCTTCATGCTCTTAACATACTGTTTACAAGTCCAGTCAGGTTGTGGCATGTATCAGTACTCCACTCCTTCCTGTTACCCAGCAGTAATCCCCTATAGTGATAATAACCTGCTCGCTAATTCCATTCATCCGTTTCTCAGTTGATGGGCATTTGGGTTGTTTTCACTTGTTGGCTCGTATGAGAAATATTACATAAACCTTCATGTACAAGTTATTGCATGGATGTGGCTCTTGCCTTGGATATGTATCTAAAAATGAAATCATTGGGTCTAACGATAACTCTATGTCTAGCATTTTGAGAAACTGGCAGAGTATTTCCCAAAGGAGTCACACCGTTTTATACTCCAACTAGGAAAATGTGAGGGTTCCGAGCTCCCTACCTCCTCCCCAAGAAGTGTGACCATCAGTATACATCTCACTAGGGCATTTGCCTAGTTTCCTGTGATGCTAAGCATCCTTTCAATTTGTGTACATTTTCTTAAAAAATAAATGTCTATTCAAATATTTTGTTTTTTTAATTTATTTATCTTTCTGATGCTGAATTATAAGAGGTTTTTAAAAATACACATTCTGGATTTAATATCCAAGAATCCTTATCAGATTTACCAGATATATGGTATGCAAACATTTCCCCCCCCCTTTGGTGAATCTTTTTATTTTCACAATAGTATCATTTGATACACAAAAGTTTTTAATTTTAATTAAGTCCGATTTATCTAGTTGCACTTTTATCACTTATGTTTCTGGTGTTTTAGCCAAGAAGCCATTGCTGTTAGAGCACAAAAATGTATTCATATGTTTTATTCTAAGTTTCAGCTCTTAAATTTAGGTCTCAGATCCAGTTTCAATTTTTATGTGAAGTGTGAGGTAGGGGTTGGACTTCATTCTTTTGCATGTGGATATATAGTTGTCTCAGCAGCATTTACTGCAAAAGCTATTCTTTTTCCATTGAATTGTCTTGGCACCCTTATCAAAAATCAGTTAACCAGATGTAAAAATTTAGTTCTGCACTCTTTAATTGAGAAAAATTTATATTATTTTTTCCTTTGCTTTTTTGGTCGTTTTTATTGTAGTTTAGTTGATTAGGACGTGTGTAGTACATACTGTTTACATTCCCTGTGGAAAGTTGGTACATGTACATAACACATCTTGATTCCTTTTTGCGTCCTCTTTCATTTCCCAACCTCCACCTCTTGGTCCCTTCCTTTTTTTGCACGTGTTTGCAGTACGTGTTACATTCCTTAAGCTGGTGCACACATATAATGTTAAGTCAAATAAATCTGAAACACACCTTCAATATCACACAGTTTGTCTTCCATGAAAAATCCAGAACAAAAACAGAGCAAAATAAAAGATAATAGAAAGTAGGCAGATAGATGGTTCTGACTCTTAATTCTATTCCATTGATTTTTTTGGTTTTTTGTTTTTGTACTTATATGCCAGGATCATACTGTCTTGATTTCTGTACTTTTCGTAGTAAGCTTCGACATGAGGGGAGGGTACATCTTCACGCTTTCCCCCTTTTGAAAATATTGTTTCGGTTATTGGGGTCTGAGTTGAAGACAAGCGCTCAGCTTGTCCGTCTTGACAGGGGTTACATGAATGTGTAGAACAGTGTGGCAAGCATCGGAATCTCTACAATCTGAGCCGTGAACCTCGGCTGTCTTTCAGCTTATTTAGATCTTCAACTTATTTTAATAATTTGCAATTTTCAGTGGCTATGTCGTGCATTTCTTTCACTCCATTTTTTTCTTCATGTTATTCTAATGGAATTGTTTTCTTAATTTCATTTTCAGATCGGTCATTGCTGGTTTATAAAACTATCATTGGTTTTTATGTGTTGATCTTGCAGCCTGCAACTTAACTGAATCTGTTGGCTCTGATAGCTTGTGGGGGATTTGCGAAGACTCTGTTTTATAGAAGATCTTGTCCTCTGTGAATAGAGATGGTTTTACATCTCTCTTTCTAGCTTGGCTGCCTTCTATTTCCCTTTCTCGAGTTCTCGTCCTTGCCAGAACTTCCGGCACGATGTCAGACGGAAGTGGCTCCCGGGCCTTGCTGTTGTTTGCTGTAGAGCCTCGGCTGGGCTATTTCCATGAACTTTCTCCTCCAGCAGTGTGCAGCTCCTGCTAACTGCACTTCAGAGACCCCCGCCTTGACCGTGTGCGTAGTCACTGACCGCAGCCCCCCGACACACACTGGCTTAGCCAGGCTCTCTCTGACTGCCCCTTTCCCCGATCTGCCCATTAAACCGCTGCTCTTCTGCCTCTGCTGATGCCACAGCCACCTGTGAGCCTTTGCGAACTACCCGCTGACGCTGGGCCTCAGCAAGCTAGATGAGGACACTGCCGCTGAACCACGTCCCTCGCCCCTGCTGCTGTCCGGTGTTTGACAACACCCTGGGATATAACTTGCGGTACAGGGTGATCCAACTAAATTCTGGAGCCTTCACCGGGCAAAGGTTTGCCAGTCTTTGAGGGTTGTTCCTTCCCCACGAGGGCTCATGGCTTTGTCCCTGGTCCTGTTAAATGTCTCATTGGTTTATTTTCAGCTAGTTGTTACTGGTATCATGGATATTGGCCTCCTCCTCCTAGGTACTCTCTTCCAAGCGCTCTATTGTTTTTGATGTGGTCTTGGGCATGAATTTCCTCATGCAGCTTCTTTGGTAAAGCCAGGGAGGTCTGGGCGGATAACTGTACCACTGCAGTGGAAGTAGGGGCAGAGGGATGCTCCTCCTGGAGAGATACTCCTGGCCTATTAGGTGGTCATTAGATGGGAATGGTAGCCACTAGTCTTGGGTCATCCATCAGCGTGGACCCAGTGCCCCTCAAGCAAGCTAGGAAGGAGATGGAAGTTTCCTGGCATGTGTACCTGGACAGAGATTCTGCCTGCAAGGTGTGGCTGGGTGTGGGAAGGGAGCCCCATGCTCTCAGCCGCCCCACCTTCGAGAGCTGGGGAAAGATGGAGATGCCAGTGTCCTGCCACCCCCAGGCTGAAGCCACAGCCCTGAACCAGGGTCAGGGCGCATGGCAAGCCCCATCTTCTTGGCAGGAAAACTGTTACACTGAACTAGGGAAGGAGTAGAAGAGAGTTTTGACTTCAGTACCATAGAGTTTTGTTGTTCTTACCAAGATTTAGGAAGTTTTCATGAATTTTTCTATTTGTTGTATTGACCACAGAACAATCCCCAGTGTCTTTCAGTGACGTCGGCCACTGAAATGGTTGTTTTACTTATGAACCTCTTCCTACTAGAAGTTTCGGTCTGCTATGTTTCTGTAAACAAAGTTTCATCAGAACGCAGTGTGTCCACTCACGGCCCTGCTGTCCGGAGCTGATTTCACGCAGAGTTAAGTAGCCACAGCAGTGATCAGAGAGCCTGCAAAGCCTAGAGTAATTACCTTCTGGCCATTTGCAGAAAACATTTGCTGAAGAATTGCTGCATTCACTTTTAGTTCTTTGTATGGAAAACAGTATTACACAATTATGTGAAGAAAGGTCGAGAGTCTGTAGTCCAGACTGCAGGAAAAGGCCTCAGTCAGTTCCGAAAATCATAGTTCTGTGGATTATTTGTAGTAACTGTGGGAGGTGGTTTGTTTGTGTTTGTGTTTGTTTTTTGGTACTGGGAGTTGAACCCAGAGAGCTCTAAGCTATATCCCTAGAGCTTACTTTAGAGACACTCAATTGCCCAGACAGGTCTTGAACTTGTGACCCTGTTGCCTCAGCCTCCTGAGAGGTGTGGTGACAGGCATGTGCCACCATGCCAGGCTGTAACTGTGTGGTTAGATTTGAGTTGTAGAGATGTTTTCTACCTGCCAATGTTCTACTTGTCTGTTCATGATCATTTTTGCCTTTTTTGCTTAAGTAACTCCTAGGTGGGCCTGGACTCCAGGGCCGGAGGTGTCCGTTGTGTCTGTGGATGCCGTATGGCTGAGGGGTAGGGGGTCCAGGGCTGTGGCCGGGGCAGGGGAGTGGGACAGCGCCCCCTGTGCTCTCCACTGGGACGGCGGCTGTCTCCTTCGGGCTCAGATCCCGTGGGCAAGCGGGGTCAGAGCCTCTGGGCCTCCCGGTGGCCAGTGTGCTCAGCGGAGGGGATGGCAGTCCACTGGTCCTGGGGTGCGCCGGGCGTCACCGGTTCGGCTTCCTGTCTTCTAGCACTGCTTTAAAGGACACTGCATCTGGCTGACACCCGACATCCTCAAACGGGACGGCAACTGGGGAGCCTGGACCCCCTTCGGCTCCTGCTCACGCACCTGTGGCACAGGGGTGAAGTTCAGGACGCGCCAGTGTGACAACCCACAGTGAGTGGCCCGGCCCTCCCTCCCACCCTCCTGAGTGGCAGCCGAGGCCCCCCCGCCCCCACCACTGCTCCTGTACGGCAGGGCCCCAACAGCCGCGGCCTGGCGAGGTGGAGCCACCTGGTCAAGGCCAAGGGCGCCAGGTCAAGCCACCTGGCCCTGGCCCCAACCGGAGGAAGCTGAGGCCCGGGAGGATGCCTTCCCAGTCACCCGGACCTGGTCTCCTGGTCCGCTGGCCTCCTGCCCACTCCAACCTGCGGTCAACTCTGGACACAGGCTTCCCTGTCCTTGGGCAGGGGCAGAGAAGAGGATGGGGGCACAGAGGGGGCGGGGATCTCTCTCAGCCCCCCAGGATGCTGGGAACCTGGGCAGGGGCTGCTGCAGCCAAGCAGCGATTTACAACCCCACAAGAGTCAGGGTCAGGACTTGCCCCCGGCCCAGGGCCCAGGCAGAGGCTGCATGTCAGATTCCCTACACTCAGCCGTGCTCCCCTCCCTGCGGGGGGCCACTTCCTGTGGTCCTCCTGGTTTCCTCGTCCACAGACACCTCTTCACTTGCAGCCTGCCTTGGCCACTGCACTCTGCAGGCCTGGCGCCATGCAGCGTCCCTGTGGCGGGACAGGGAGGCCTGCATGCATGCGGGCAGCACTTGGCAGGGCTCCACGGTGCCCAGCAGGGGCCCTTCAAGCTCTACCTGGCAGACACGTGGTGGGGCCTTTGTCTTGTTTTGGCCTGTCCGAAAGATTTGGATTAAAAGACTTAAAATATTTTGGTTTATCTGAAAACACTGAAAGTCTGGAATTTCACATAAAAACCTAAACAGACTTCCAGCTCCCAAATGGGCCCAATGTGGGCTGGAGGGAGGGATCTGGCCTCTGGCCTCTGCAGTGGCTCCCCTGCTCCGTCTTCCTAGACTGCAGTGCTTTCTCTGGCATGGAGGAACCAGACCTGGTCGTGGCTGCTGGGGCGGGGAGACATCTCCATTGCAGGGCAGGGCCTGGCAGCCGGACAGCCTGCTGCAGGAGCATCTGTGTCTGGCCGCTCCTGCTGTGTAGAGCCCGCCCACCCCTCCTGCCCAGGGCCCCAGGCTGTCCTGGGCGAGATCAGACCGGAGGAGGACCCTCGGGTCCCTCTCTGTGCACCTCTGGGTGCTGTTACACTCCCAGAGAAGAAAGCTCGGGCTGGGGAGTTAGAACCCCAGAGGCATTAGAGGATCAATCTTGTTCCCTGGGAAGCAAGGACGTGCAGAGGCACAGCACAAATCCTGCAGTGGGGGAACAGCGCCGTGGGGGCCCCTTGTGCCGGCCTCTCATGGAAAACTTGCGCTGCAGGATTCTACTGTTTTAGAATTGCTCTGGGATACCCCCAGTGTGTGCCAGGCCCCGCCTTACGAAGTGGTTTGGCCAGGCTTTGCTGCCCTGGGGTTTGCCATCCAGCAGGGAAGACAGAATCTGAATGCCCAGTCACAGTCCTTGTCCCTGTGCAGCCCCAGGCGTCAGCAGGGAGGGTGCAGGCCACTGTGCTGCCTTCCCAGGGGAGCCCGGGAGTGAGGTACCGCACCGCTCCTTCCAGTTTGGATTCCCTGAGGCCTGGGGCTGGGACCAGCCTGGGTGGGATGGCTGGGACGAGGAGGGCTTGCTTACTTTCCTCAGCAGAGCTGGCCCCCCTATCCCTGAGGCTCAAGGATCCCCCTAAAATACCCACCTGAAAGGCAGCTCTTCTAGCGCCACCAGGCAGAAGGACCTCTGCTTTCTCCTCCAGCCCAGCCAATGGGGGCCGCACCTGTGCGGGCCTGGCCTACGACTTCCAGCTCTGCAACCCCCAGGACTGCCCCGACACGCTGGCTGACTTCCGGGAGGAGCAGTGCCGCCAGTGGGACCTGTACTTTGAGCACGGCGATGGCCAGCACCACTGGCTGCCCCACGAGCACCGCGATGGTGAGCAGCAGGCCCCCCGGGTGGCAGGGCCAGCACGTGCTGCGCCCTCGGTGCTGTGTGAGGCAAGGCGGTGACATCTGGGCCGAAGGCAGAGCCACTCCAGCAGGCGTGGCCACTGCGGCCCCTCCGGGGCTAGGACTTGGGACGTGGACCAGGCTGCAGTCCCAAAGGTGCAGGGGCACTGGGCCTCACGGAGGCTGCTGGGGGAGGTCAGAAGGGGTCGGTCTCCGGCCATCACCATCGGGCGGGCAGCTGAGGGCCTGTGACCTTCTCTACCAGCTGGGACTCTCAAGTCAGAGTCAGACACCGCTACGAACGTTCATGCCCGTAATCCCAGCACTCTGGAGACTGAGGCTGGAGGACCGCAAGTTCAGTTCCTCCTGTGCAGCCTAGTGAGACCCTGTCTCAAAAGAAAAAAAGTGAAAAGGGCTGGGAATGTAGCTCAGTGTGAAGGGCCGGGTTCAGAGCCACTACTGACAAGGAGGGAAGAGAGACAGGGACAGGGACAGGGACAGGACAGGACAGGACAGGAAGGCATTTTGGCTGATGGAGCTGAAAAGTCAGGTAACATCAGGCCTGGTGGGGCTTGTGTGGTTGCCGCTTGGTTCCAGGACTCCCAGCCTGAAGGAAACTAAAGTCCACAGGCGCCCCAGCCCCTTCCGCAAGGTGCTGTAGTGTCTGTGCCCAACCCGTCACACCCCCAGTACCGTGCGTCACCTCTGGACGGTTGCAGTACTTAACACTGGGAGTGCTGCGTGAATCGTTGCCATACTGCTTTGTTTAGGAAATACTGACCCCCCTGTTCAGTACAGAACAGTTGTTTCTAAATATTTTTGATCCACAAAGTCCAAACTGCGGATGTGAACCCCTCGGATAGAGAGGGTAGACTGTGTTCCATGGGGGTCCCTCTCTGTGGGGACCTGTGACAGAACCAGGACAGTCTGGTCCTTCCGGACCTCCAAGAAGGTTGACAGAAAAGGCCTCTGTGAAAGGGGACTCAAGACAGCCACAAGGGGCGACCCGGTGCGCCCAGAGCCTGGGGGCTGTGTGGGGAGAAGTCTCAGGGTAGGGAAGGAAGGTGGCTGCGGCCCCTTCCCTCTCTGCGCCCTGGAGGGCAGGCTTCGTGGGGCAGGCGGGCGTAGACAGGCCCTCTCCCTCCTCGGGACTTCTCTTGTGACAAGGCGCCTCCTCGCTTCCCTTCCAGCCAAGGAGAGATGCCACCTCCACTGCGAGTCCAGGGAGACCGGGGAGGTGGTGTCCATGAAGCGCATGGTGCACGACGGGACACGCTGCTCCTACAAGGACGCCTTCAGCCTCTGTGTGCGCGGGGACTGCAAGGTGAGTGCCCGGGCCTCCGCCCCAACATACGCAGACAGAATGCCAGCAGCAGCGCCTCAGACAGAGGCTGGGACTCAGCAGAAGTCACTCCACTCCTCCCCGGTGTCAGGGGGCCCCAACTTGAGTGTGTCGAGGACCTGGGTACCTGGGGCTTGGGGGCGTCACCTCCGATGTTCTGGCTCCAAGCTCAGCCTGGATTCTTGCTGCGCCCCCGCTGATTCTGACGCAGGAGAGGCGCAGGTGCAGTGCTTGGCAGGGTCACCTCCAGACAACTCCACGGTCAGCTGACAGTTGTGGGCCAAAAAGACGCGGAGCCCGGTGCCCCTATTGGACACCCCAGCTCAGCAGCACAGCACTCTAGGGTGTTGTCATCCCCGCCAGGGTCAAGGGAGTGAGTGGGGCTGCGACTGCTGCTACTGCCCGGAGAGGGTCAGAGTCCTGGCACCAGCCCAGCAAAAGGTCAAAATTCAAAACTGAAGGTAGAGCTGCGACTGACCACAGATTGCTCTCCCACCACCAGAAAGTGAAGTGGGGGCCATCAGCACACCCCCGGCTTCTCTTGTAGTCTGTCACAAAGAGTAACCGCGGGTGTCAGGGCCTGCAGCTGGAACCCTCACCCCTGGAAGCAGGGTGCGCCTCTGCTGGAGGCTGCGAGGTCAGGACCGGCGGTAGGTGTCGGCGGCCTGACTCACCTTCCTTCCTGGGAGACGCAGCACCCTGGGGTGTGGCTGGAGAGAGCCCGGCAGAGAGCCGGGGAGCAAGGCGAGGAGGTGGGCACAGGCAGCAGGGTGCTCCAGGTCGGCTCACACACACGTGTGTTCACCTTGATCGTTTCACATCCCGGACGCTTCCAAAAATAAGTCGGAAAACCTAAGTCAAGCTGGGCGTGATGATGCAACCTATAGTACCAGCCACTTGGGAGGCTGAGTAGGAAGACTGCAAATTCAGGACAAATTAGCAAAGCTCTGTCCCATAATAAACAATAGAAAGGGCTGGGTAGTTCAGTGGTAGAGCACCCTGAGTTAAATCTACAATGTTACAAAGAGAAGACTCATGAAAATACAGACCAATAAAACCACAGACCATGAATTTCTATCCACGTGTTCAGAAAGGAGGAGCCAGTCCGTGCCCTACAGCCCTTGCACGGCCTTGAGCCCCTGCGCTGGAAGGTCTTTGGGAGACGAAAGCCAGAAATCACACAGCAGCTGGGAGGGGCTGGGCGTAGAGCTCAGTGACAGAGCATTTTCCTAGAATGCGTGAGGCCCAGATTCAATCCCCAGCATTAAAGAAAAAACAAAACAAAACCCAAAGGAAAGGAAGGCAGTCTCTCCGGAGGTGGTGATAGTGATATAGGAAAATGGAAACTCCCAACCTGAACGAAGTCTGGGACGAGTTCATGTTCTCTAAAATCGAAGAATGAATTTTAGGAGCTACAGAGGTTAAGAGCAGAACATATTTATTGAGGGAAAGAAAGCTCTCTGAGAGAGGGACAGAAGTGGGGTCAGAGAGGGACAGAAGTGGGGTCTGAGAGGGTTGCCCAACACTGTCTCTTCTAGGGACTCTTAGAGAGCAAAACCTCGAGGTGAGGTGGGTCCAAGGCAGGGGAAAAATAGGAAATTACAAGGTGGACATGAGATCAGCCTATAAGAACTGTTCAGGTAAAATTGATTAAATTGGGATCAAATGGGGAAGCGAGTCCCTTATGAATACAGAACAGGGGTCAGTGACTCTTCAAGGTAATCGCTACCTATTTAGAATATCAATCCCGGATGTCCATCCCTGGGGAGGTGTGCCGGTGCATTTGTTTAGTCTTTTGTCTTGAGGTCTGGCCTGCAGCAAGTAGTCTCCATTTGTAAGGTGTCTTGTCTTCCATGCTGGCTCCTTGAGGGCCTGGCCCTGTCTGACTGCACATAATATTTCTATCCACCTCAGCTGCCTGTACCAATAGGAGAGTCTTTAAAGGAGACTTGGCAGTGAGCCTCCGAGCAGCCAGAGCAAAGGAGGCAGCCTGTGCTGCGATCTCGTTCTCCGGGACGGCTCAGTGAGCTCTTCTCTGCTGAGCACCCAGGAAAGTGGGCTCCAGCAGGCTCTGTGCTTGGCACAGTGAGGCCAGCCCTCACCCTCGTCACCCTGGGCTGTAGACAGGATCGGAACCTCATTCGTTCTTGTCTCTGCCGGCCGGCTCTCAGCAGAGCACCGTCTCCACTCTGCAATAATTCTAGTTCCTGGCGTGGCAGTGCATTGAGGGATTGGTAGAAAGAATGAGGGCGGGAGTGTCCGCGCCGGGTCCAGACACCGGAAGACAGACTAAAGAGACAGTGCCTGCCCGAGGGCAGAGTGGGGGTGCAGTCCCAGATGGCGCCTCGCTGGGAGCCTCAGGGGCTGCCTGTGGGGGTGCCAGCAGCGTGGGGGGGCGAGGCCAGCGCTCTGACTCACAGCCTCGAGGACAGAGGGCTCTTGGGAGGCCCGGCCAAGGTTACAGGAGCCCTGAGCTCATGGTTCCACAGACTAAGGAATGAAGTCGTGACTCGAAGGAGGAGGTTAGGAGAGTTCGCACTGGGAATGAGGAGAGCAGCTCCTGGATTTCGGGGGACGGGGCGGGGGGGGGGCGTAGTTTCTCATCTCGAGTTGCTCATACATGAGGGGAGGGCAGGAATGGCTTCCCTGTCCAGTGGCCGTCTGTCACATGTGGCTCCACGGATTTACAATGACCAGTTGGATCTCTGGCTTGCTAACTTGGTTCTTTTTTTTTTTTTTTTTGGTTTTTCTCCGGTACCGGGAACTGAACTCACGACCTTGCGCTTGCCAGGCAGGCGCTTTTGCCACTGAGCTAAATCCCCAGCCCCCGCTAACTTGGTTCTTTAACACACAGGGTTTAAGGGAAACTGGGATTTTAGAGGAAAGGCTGGGTGTTTTGCATTTTAAGCTCCTCAGAACTTGGGAGTTTGGCAGGGGTGGGCTGCATGCCCTGCTGCCTGACGAGTTCGCTGCTGGTCCTCCTCCCCTCTGTGCTTACTGCAGCTCCCCCACTATGGCAGGTCACCCACCTCCGTCTCAGGCCCTTCCCTGGCAAGCCGCCTCACTCACACGGTGGCTGAGTAACCCATTTGCTACATCAGGGAGGTCCCAGGCACGTGACCCCGCTGTGCTGGGCAAGGCGTTCAGTGGGTCATGCTTTCCGGAGATGCAAACTGGGGCACGGGAGGGTTACAGGGGGTTATACCCCACCCCACGCCCGTGTGAGAACTGCCGAGACAGATGCACAGCCCATCGGCCACAGCAAGGGTGGATGCCAGCCGGCCGGCGGGACCCTGTGTCACCTGAGGCGGGGTGCACACGCGGAGAGGCGTCTCAGGTGCTCCTGTCACTCTCCCTGCAGAAGGTGGGCTGTGACGGGGTGATCGGCTCCAGCAAGCAGGAGGACAAGTGCGGCGTGTGTGGTGGGGACAACACGCACTGCAAAGTGGTCAAGGGCACGTTCACTCGCTCTCCCAAGAAGCTCGGTGAGTGAGCCCAGCTGGCCCGTCCTGCGCAAGGGCGTGGTTTGAGTCGCCCTTGGGCTCTGGCTGGTCCGGCTGTTGGCGGTGGGGGCTGGGCAGTCAGGTGGAGGGAGGATGCCAAGCTAACCCTGCTGTGGTGGGCACGGAGGAGGGAGGCCACAGGGTCAGGAAGGCACGTACTGGCTGGGTCTCAGAAGTGTGTATTAGAGGTCAGGCCCTGTGCAGAGCACCTCACCCAAACTGCCAGGATGCCAGCCTGTCTGTCCCCGTTCCGTCCCTCTCTCCTGCTGCCAGCTGGGTCCCAGCAGGGCTGCAAGTCGGAGCTAGAGACCTGGGGGCTCCTGGCTCTATTACTCCATTTTTTGCTACTGTAATGGAATTCCTGAGGCTGGGAAACTTGTAAAGAAGGGACTTATTTAGCTCACACTTTTGAAGCTGAAAGTCCATGCAAAATGGTGCCAGCTCCAGCGAGGGCCCCTCTGACTTCATCACCTCATGGCAGAGGGCACCACTGTGGCGGGAGTGTGGGCAAGAGCAAGAGATGCCAGGGCCGGGGCGGGCTGGAGTGACTCCTGTCAGCCCCACCTCCGGGAGGTCACCCCGCAACAGCATGCCTGAGCCTCTCTCGGGCACCTGCATACCGCCTGGCCTCATGCAGGGCTGACCTGGGCCTGGCCTGCAGCTCGCTGGACATGCCTCAGCTGGCCCGTCTGGGTCCTGGGCAGAAGCTACTTGCTAGTCTCTCTTAGAAGGCCATGGGGCAGATGCGCAGGTGTTTATGGGAGTCAGATGCTGGGGAGGCCTCAGGCAGGTGTTCAGCGCCGGGCTCTCCAGAGCCCACCGCAGTGTGGGTCTGAGGAAGTTGGCAGGTGATGAGGCTGAGGTGCCGACAGGCCACGCAGGGCCTGACACGGCACCGTGGACTCACGAGCTCGGGACTCAGGGCTGCATTCCCTCCCGTGTCCAGTGGAGGAGGTTGGCCAGAGGGGTGGGGGGGGCACCTAGGAGCTGAAGAGGAGCAGAAAGGCGGGACAGGCGGTGCCAGGCCCCAGGCTGTGGCCACACCCTGCCCCAGAGCTTCCTGGTTGCCCCACACTGGTGGGCAGCCCAGGCCCTGGAATTACAGTGGCCTCAGGAGACCTGCAGTGAGGCGAGGCCCTTCCCTGAGATCTGCCCCCCAGTCCCCTGGTCCCCCAGTCCCCCAGTCCCCCGGTCCCTCCCCTCCCCTCTCCTTCTCACTTGGTGTTGTCTTCCTGCACCTGAACAAAGGTTATATCAAGATGTTTGAGATCCCCGCGGGAGCCAGACACCTGCTCATCCAGGAGGCAGACGCCGCCAGCCACCACCTGGGTGAGTCTGGGAGCGGGGACGGCCCGGCCTGTCCAGGCCCTGGCTCTTGTGGAATGGGCAGTCAGAGATCCGGGCGATGAGTCCTGAGGGAGCCCAGGCTGGCGGGTGTGGCGGGTGTGGCTGCAGCCCCGCATCCACCTGTCCCTCAGCCCAGCGCCCCGCCCCGGGGCCTTTCCTGGGCTCATCGACCCGTGGAGAGGCCAGGCTTTGGGATCCGGGCTTCCCGGCAGTGGTGGTGAGGGTCTTGTGTCCCGGTGGGCCTCGCCCCTCCACACCACCCTCTACGAGGGGGCAGCATCCGCGTCTCTCACACACACACACACACACACACACACACACACACACACACACACACACGAACTTGCGGCCACGAAGGCCACACCGTGAGGATGCACCTATTTTCAGTTATTTTATTCTGTGCTGATGCTCCCAGGGCCTGCGCCTGCTAAGTACGCACTCTACCCCGATCTAGCGCCTTCAGCCCATGGTTTTAAACTTTAGAGATTCCACCTAAGATAGGGATTTCTGACCTCTCTTGAAGACGTGACCGTTCTCACAGCCCTGGACACCCTTCCAAGTGGCGGTCCCCACCTGGGAGGTGTCTCAGTGACAGTACTGATGGCACCAGCCGCTCAAGGGAAGAGAGCCGGATTTGGCTCACGGTTAGAATCCAACCCATGCTGGGCAGCTCCAAGGCAGGAACTCCAGGTCGAGGGCCTGCTGTAGGGGAGAGCCGCTCCCTGAGTGTCATCCGGGAAGCAGAGAAGAGAGGGGCCGCTCGGAGCAAGAGGCACCTTCCAGTTTGCGCCCCGCCCCCCGTGGCCCCATAACCAGGCCTGCCCCCTAATACAAGCCGGCTGCAGGGCCCTGGGGTCCAGCCACTACCCACAAGCCCTGCATCCTGGAGCACATGACGGGGGGGACACCCACTTCCACACCACATTGGGGGCTCCCCACCCGCACCCGCCCGTCCAGGGCATCCTGGGGCGGTCACTGGATGGGTCCTTTCCCCAGTCTGAGTTGCCCCACCTTCGTCCCCATCCTCTGGAGGGGTCAGGCTGGGTCAGGGGTTTCCGACCTGCTACAGGCAGCCATCCCACTCACGTGTAACAACCCTCCCCCAACACATCTTCCCTCCTTACTATTCGAAGAGGAGAGGCTTTGTCACTGCCCTTGGCTTAGGTAGAAGATGAACACCAAGGTGAGTGAATTCCTAGACAGGAAGACACTTGGTCCCAATGCTGGGGCTGAGGGCCATGCCCTTCAAAGCACGAGAGCTTATGCTAGAGAGACAGTAAAGATCTGAGACTTTCTGCACAGTGTGCGCAGAAGTCCAGGGGGCTTCTATAGGAAACCACGTACTCACTGGTGGCCTGTCTGGGGCCCCCCAGTGTCACCTTCCACTGCAGGGAGTGGGGCTTCTGAGCCCCTAGATTTTCCTAGCCCGGCAGTGGGTGCCCAGGGCCTGCGTGGGGGAGTGCGTTACTGGTGGGGGTGGGGACACTGCTTTTGCAGCAGGGTGTTTGTCACCGCCCAGCAGGGAGCCCCCCCACTGGCCCTGTGTGCTGTCTTTCCAGGGGATCCCTGTCCGCCACCCTGGCCTGGAGGCTGCTGTGTTAGTCAGCTTCCCTTTGCTGCAGTCCAGTGCCTGAGGCAACTAACTTAGAAAGGTTGAATTGTGTGCTCTGTCCGGTGGCTCACAGGGGAGCCATAGTCGTATCTTAAACCTGGGGGCTGGGGTCCCCCATCCTCTTGTAGGTCACATCCCCAGTGACCGTAGGACCTCCCACTAAGGTACCACCCTGAAAAGGCTTCACCACCCACAAGGGCTACCTGAGGATCATGAGAGGGGCCTTGAGAGGACAGTCCACTCAGCATCCCAACCAGGCCAGCCTCTCTGTGCCCCTGACTGCTCGATGGACCACAGTGAAGCTTCTCTGGGGAGCCAGGGAGCCTTCAGGGCCTGCTGGGGACAGATCCAGAAAGGGCGCTGGGCTGGGCACAAGGGCCTGGGTGGAATCATCCGGTCTCCAGGGAGAGACCGACAGCAGGGTGTGGCTCCCAAAGCAGTTTGGGCTATTGGTATGGACTGAGCCCTGGTGGAGGGCAGCTGGGAGAGACGAGGGGCGCCGGTCCCCACGACGATCCACAGCTGCCCCAAGCAGCACGCCCTGCTGGGCCCCCCACAGCGGGCCTGGGTCCTGCCCTCCAGTGACCGCGGCGGGGCGCGGGCTCCTTTTGCCATTCTCAGCCGTCAAGAACCTGGAGACAGGCAAGTTCATCTTAAATGAAGAGAACAACCTGGACCCCAATTCCAGATCCTTCATTGCCATGGGCGTGGAGTGGGAGTACAGGAACGAGGACGGCCGGGAGACGCTGCAGACCATCGGCCCGCTCCGCGGCACCATCACCGTGCTGGTGAGCACACGGGCTGCGCCCGGCCGGGCTGCGCTGGCCCCAGGGGAAGGACGGGGCTGGGGATGCCCAGGAGTCTTGAGGCTCCCTGAGTTCTTTAGGCCGTGCTCAGAACAGCCCTGTGAGCGTGCTCTGGCCTCCAGCTTTGTGTCAGAGCCAGAAACATGTGGGGCTGTACCCCGGCCTCTGGTACGGCCCCACCCCAGGGACCTGGACAGTCTCTGCTCCAAGGGCTGCGGCTTCTTTATCGGAGTGACATTCACATTCACTGCTGCCATCCACCATGGCAGGTCACAGCTGCTGTCACGCTGAAGTGACAGTCGGGGCCTGGACCAGGCCAGGCTGGGCCTTGTCTCCCCCAAGACTCCCCAGACCCTCTTGTGCAGAGCCACAGGCCGCTCCTACTGATGAGAAATCCCCAGACGACGGGATTTTCCAACCGCTTTTTAGATTTGAATGTCAGTTAATTGCATAAGTGGTATGTTTTATTTCTCAACAAATTTAGACACTACCAAAAAGCCTCTTGTCCCCTGAGCCCCTCCCCTCGGGGGAGCTGACCACCCAGAGCCCAGCAACTGCACACAGGGTGTGCACTGCGGAGAGGTCCAGGACAGGCCAGCTGCATGCACGCGTGCAAGGTGCAGCTCTGCCGGCCTCGCCCACCAGGACTTGTTACTCTGTGGGAGTGCCTTTGTGACTCCCTCCAGCTGGCCCAGGCCTTCGGTATTCACCCCTCACTGAAATTCACCCGTGACCCACAGCTGGACGTTCACAGAATGTGTTTCCAGCTGAGAGGTGACTGCTAGACGCTGGCTTCTTGTTTCAGCTCCCATAAACAGGAGTCTTTTCTGAGCCTGCCTCGTGCCACGTATTGGGCATGCTGTGCTTTCCTGGGGCTGGCTTTGCTGCTTCCCACAGCCCCTGAGCCCACTGCCAAAGCCCTGTCTGGTGTCCCTGAGCCCAGAAGGCTGTGATGGAGAACAGGCTGGGTGGGAGAAGTGAGTTATAGGGTTGTTGGCAACAAGGTCGATGATTCTGAATCAGCAATGTCTTTAAGAGAAGCACGTGGTATAAAACACATTTATGTATTGATTAGTTGACTGAAAGGGGAGCCCTCACAGGATGCCACCCCTACACAGATGCCCTTGGCTTACAGTAGTGCCGCACCCCTAACCCCTGGTAAGTTGAAGATATCGCAAGTCACAGTGCATCACTGGGTCCTCCTCACCGAGGGAGCGCCCTCTCTGGGCAGCACTGTGCCCTGTGGTGCGGGTCGTGTCCCTGGGACCGCAGGGCTGATGCGGGGCTTGGCGGGCTGCTACTGCCCGGCAGCGTGGGTTACTGAATGCACATTGCTTCCCCTGGGAAAGATCCCTCAAAGTCTGGACTCTGCCGAATGCACGTTGCTCTCACACCATCATAAAGTCAGGAACTGTAAACCACTGAGAGTCAGGGACGGGCCGTGTCACCCCCGGAGTCATGGCTTATTACCAGTATTCCATTCAGTGTACATGGTGACGTCACCGAACATAACTCCTGCGGAGGAGAATAGACTATAAACCTGCCCTGGGCTCACGTCCCTAAGCTGGCTGCTGAGCAGGGGCGGCCGCAGAGCAAGAGTATTCATGGCCGTCTTGGGTGGGCACAGGTCATCCCCGAGGGAGACACCCGGATCTCACTGACGTACAAATACATGATCCACGAAGACTCGCTCAACGTCGATGACAACAACGTGCTGGAGGACAACTCTGTGAGCCACGAGTGGGCCCTGAAGAAGTGGTCTCCCTGCTCCAAGCCCTGTGGCGGAGGTGAGCAGATTCTCGTGGCCGGGTCTCCTAGTGGAGATATCCCTGGATGGGGGCCCAGCCTGAGCAGAGGTGGGCGTCCTGGAAGAAGTGGGAGGTGCTTCTGGGTGAGGGGCTTCCCGAGCCGACAGGCCCCTGCTGAGTGCCAGGCCTGAGACCAGTGAGTCTCGGCGTGTGCCAGCTGTGAGAAGATTGGCTCTAGAGGAGGCCACTGCAGTGACCTTGGTCAGGTGGTCAAGGGCCTGGTCCAGATCCTGGCCTGCGAAGGATCAGGACACTTGAGGCATCAAGCCAGAGGTCACTGGGGTGATCAGGAGTCACACTATGGCACTGGTGGGACAGGGCCCGAGCAAGATGCAAGCAGTGTAGAAACAGCCCTGGGAGGGACTCAGGGAAGCCTCCCAGAATGCCTGGAGCAAGGCTGAATGCGGAGGGGACCCAGCTGCCCCGAACTTGAGTCCTTGGCTGCATGGGACACAGGACACACAGATGATCAGGACAGACCTCCCCTGCAAGCCACAGCTCACCAGGGGGCAGGGGATCGCACGCCGGGCAGATGGCACCCCAGCTTCCTGTCGGGCCTCCCACATGGATCTCATCAGTAGGTCTTGCCAATTCTCCTGCTTGTCTTTTGGACCTGTCTGCTATTCCTGTCTTCCTCACCACCCACTCACTGGCCCTCTCACCGTCCTCCCACTGGCCTATGTAAATCCACTGTTGGTCCCAGAGTGACCTTCTAGGGGGTAAATTAGATCACGTTTCTTCCTGGCATCATAACATCTTCGGTAGCTCCCTCTGTTCTTGGCATGAAGGCTGAAATTGCTCCAGTGGCCTCAGGTCCAGGTAATTTGCTGACCTCTGTTGCCACGTTGGTGCCTTGCTGCTCACGCCCCAGACCCTGGCCGTGCCAGACGTAGGTGCAGTGTTGGTCCATTTCCCATTGCTATAACAAAATACCCAAGACAATCAACTTACGGGAAAGGAAGGCTTTGTTTTGGCTCACGGCTTTTGAGGTCTCAGTCCATGGTTAGTTAACTGCATTGCTTTGGGCCTGTGACGAGGCAGCGTATTGTGGCAAGAGCACATGGTGTGAGAAGCCGCTCTCTTTATGATGGCCAGGAAGTGAAAGACAGAGAGCGAGAGGCCCTTCAAGGCCAGGCCCCCTATGATCTAAGTTTCCCCCACTAAGCTCCACCTCTTAAAATCCCGCCACCTCCCACGGCACCACAGGCTGGCAGCCAGGCCTTCCACACGTAGGCGTTTGGGGGACGTTTATCCAAACCATTTCCTGGACAAAAAGTTCTCCCTCAGGGCCCCTGCACAGGCTTCTTCTCAGCATCCCCTCTATCACCTTCCCTAAAATCACCCCACCTCTGCTCACTGAGACATCTCCAGATGCCCAGACTGGGTCAGGCCTGGAAGCGGTATACTCTGTTGTATGCTAGCTGACTATTGACATTTTAAGCTCATTATTCCGTATTGTGGGGCACTGTAGGATGCTGAGCCGCTTCCTGCTTCTACGCACTAGGTGCCAGTAACACATCCAAGCCCAGCTGTGACAAACAAAAATGTCTCAGACGTTCCCGCATGGCAGGGGAAGAGTGTCACCCGCTGAGCTTACTGTGGGACCGGTGCAGGGCGTGTGCCCTGTGCTGACGAGGCCTGCCAGGCTCCCTGTGTAGTGAGTTGAGGTGGAGCCTGTGACTTAAGTGATGGAAGGGAGACAGACGGCCCTGTGGCCCAGGAAGTCAGGAAGGGGCCGGGCAGAAGCCAGTGAGGTGCAAAGGCAGCTGCTCCCTGGCCCTCTTGGCTTCCTTTGGCCTAGGGCACTGGGTGATGCCATGCACCTTGGGGATGCAGTACAGGGTGGAGCGGGACTGGCTCCGCTGGTGGAGCCCACCCCTCCGAGTCTCCTTGGGGGTCCCGCCACCCCCGTGAGCCCCACCGCGCTCTCTGTCTCCAGGGTCACAGTTTACCAAGTACGGCTGCCGCCGGAGGCTGGACCACAAGATGGTGCACCGGGCCTTCTGCAACGCCCTGGCGAAGCCCAAAGCCATCCGCCGCACTTGCAACCCACAGGAGTGCTCCCAGCCCGTGTGAGTGTGCGGGGTCCCCGCGCAGGGTCCCACTCGGGGAGAGGCCGGATACCACGGGCGCCGCATGCAGGGAGGGGTGGGACCAGTGCTCCGGGCAGGCTTGGGCCAGGCATCATCTGAGCCCCTGATGTGTTCTCCTCGCCTACCGAGTTCTGCGGAGCCTGAGATGCTGCAGGTGGAGCCTCAGACCTGCTGAGCTGGTGTGACGTGCATGTTAGAAGTGACAGCAAATGGTGTTACCCAACTGGGAAACTGAGGCCAAGGCCCTGGGGCTCCAGTGTATGGTGGGCATTTCCTTGATCCACAGGCCCTGCGGTTCCCTGAGACTGCATTTCTGGGCCCAGGTTCCTGCCTGGCTGGTGCACAGGCTGGTGGGCAAAACACAGGGACAGGGATGAGGGGTCCTCGCTGCTGTTGAGCTCAGCCCCAGAAGGGAGGCTAGAACGCAGGAGCCTGAGAAGGGACAGAAAGCCGATGGTGTACTGCAGGCTTTAGGCCCTCCAAGCTGTGCCCTCCCCTCCACGGTCGTGTGTGGGGTTACGCGAATCTTAGCTCCCCTTCCTCAAACCGACGCTGCCAGCACCTCTGTGAGGTCAGAAGCTTTCCCTGCAGAGCGGAGCAGGCTGCCTCACTCCACCCTCTCACTCACCCGGGTGGTGGGAAGGGCACCGAGGCTCTCCAGGGTGGCTCTGCAGGGCAACCAGGGACTGACCGTGTGCCACTCTGCCCCGACAGGTGGGTCACGGGCGAGTGGGAGCCCTGCAGCCAGAGCTGTGGGCGGACGGGCATGCAGGTGCGCGCCGTGCGCTGCGTCCAGCCTCTGCACAACAACACCACGCGCTCCGTACACACCAAACACTGCAATGACAACCGGCCCGAGAGCCGCCGGGCCTGCAACCGCGAGCTCTGCCCGGGTCGGTGGCAGGCCGGGTCCTGGTCCCAGGTAAGCTGTCCCCTGGCCCCAGACCTTGGCCCCCAAGTGAGCCTGGGTGAGACTGAGGTGGCCAGGGCGTTCCAGTTGGGCCCATGGGCTGGGACACAACTCCTGCACTGGGCTGCAGCTCCTGGGTTTTGGGGTACTGTGGGCACCAGTGGTCGGGGTCCGGCTGATGAACACAGCAGGGTGGCTGCCATGCTGGGGCCACACACGCCAGGCATAGCTGCTCTGCTGCTGGGCAGGGTGAGCCCAGGCGACTGAGGTCTTGGAGACCTCTCATCTCGGAGGATGCAGGTACATCTAGATGCCCAGCCAAGCCACAGGAAGCGGGAGGAGCAGGGCCAGACTGGACAGAGGGGTGAGGGTGGGCGCAGGGTTGGAGGATTGCGCAGGAGGCGGGGCCTGAGCACGAGCCAAGGCCACGCAAGCTGACGTGGCGCTGGCAGCCTGGTCCCACCCTAGGCTCAGGGACGCCTGAAGGACTCAGAAGTGGGACACACACTGAGAGTTTGCAACGGTGAAAGGAGACGGTAGAGTCAGCACACAGAAGGGAGGACATCCAGAGGAAAGTAGTGCAGCCTTCCAGGTGACCTCACCCGGCCAGTGCAGCCAGGAGGGAGCCCGAATTCTCCCAGCGGAGACATGCCACCACACCCTCGAGGCGTTACCACCAAGCTGTTACCAGCGGGCTGCACGGCAGCGCTGGGTGTCCAGAGCCCTCCCTGGGGCGGGGAGATCAGCCACACACCTCATGGAGGTCCCACGGCCCCTCCCACTACCCCACTGTGAACCTGCGGCGACACACGCAGACCACACACAACACAGCAAGGCGGGGGCCCAGGCCTCCTGCTGGCTGAGCGCACTGCCCTCAGAAGGGCACAGGAGATGGCGCGGCCTCTCCCTCAGCCCCAGGAGGCCAGTGGTGGGCACCATGTCCCGCGCCACCGCTTACACACACGGGGGCTCGGGCTTCTGCCTCGTCCAGGCAGGACCCGTGCAGGAGGCGACGCTCACCGGGAACTCTGCCCCCCGCAGTGCTCCGTGACCTGCGGCAACGGCACCCAGGAGCGGCCCGTGCTCTGCCGCACAGCGGATGACAGCTTCGGCATCTGCCGGGAGGAGCGGCCTGAGACGGCGAGGGTCTGCAGGCTCGGTCTCTGTCCCCGTAAGCTCTCTGCTGTCTCTAGCCCCAGAGCCAGGGGAGGAGGGGGTCGGTGCAGGGAAATTCGGCACCCCCCAAACTGGCTGGGCTCCGCATCCGTGGTCTCGTAGGAGAGGCTGAGCACTTGGTGCAGGGCTCGGTCCTTCCCCGGGCGGGAAGTGGAGGGCACTGATGCCGCTGCCCAGATGTCCCGGCCAGCTCCAAGCAGGCAGTGCTGCCTCCGACCGCCCTGCCCTCTGTCAGCTGAGGCTGTGCCCTGCACACAGCAGGCTCGCCGTCCAGCAGGTGCCGGGGCTTGTGTGAGTGAGGGGCACCACGCCCAGACCGTAAGCAAGCCTGCGTGAGTAGGGGGGCCCGTGGTGGCTGGGGTGTCTGCTCGACGGGCGCTGTGTGCACAGCGGGTGCTGCCTGTGTGGAGCACGGCAGACGCCTGCCCAGGGTGGTCCTGAGTCACTTCCTTTGGTCCCCGTAGCGGCTCAGACGCCTCTGCCCAGCAGGGCACCCTCCACAGAGGAGGGCATGCGGCAGGGTGCGGGGCACTGGCCTCAGCAGGGTGGGTGGTGCCAGGGATTCTCATTGCCGCTGTGCCACTCTGGCCTGGTGATTCTTCAGCTCAGAGCTTGAGGCCGGGGCGGGGAAGAGGGGAGAGCCGGGTGGGGTGCAGAGGAAAAAGCAGAGCTTAGATAGGAGCGGCAGGGCCTTTGCAGGGGTCAGTGAGGCCCAGGACAATGGGCAGAGAGAGGTAGGAGGTGGGACCTGCTCTCCCGAGGGAAGGCCTTGAGTGCCTCGGGCAGGGTCAGGCCTGTCTGTTGTCCCTGTCCCGGGATGCTGGGAGCAGAGCGGCTGTGCCTGGCGTGTGTGGCCCCAGATGGCAGCCACCTCTCTCCCTCTGCCTGCCCTCCAGGAAACACCTCGGACCCTTCCAAGAAGAGCTACGTGGTTCAGTGGCTGTCCCGCCCGGACCCCGACTCGCCAGTCCAGAAGATCTCAAGTAACCGACCTGTTTATAACTCTGCCTCTGCCCTCCAGTGCATGCCCTGCGCCCTGTGGAGCTTGCCTTGGGCTCCCCTCCTCTCTGTCTATGGAAAGCTTCCCTGACTCTCGCTGAGCGCTCTCTCTTGATTGAAATCTGTTTTCTCCCGGGCCTTGTGCTCGGCGTCCGTCTCCTCTGGAGCTTGCGCCGCCTGGCCTTGAGCAAGGGCCGGCCTCAAGGAGGCCTGGCCTCTTCCAGGGGCTGGGACCCAGTTGGCGATAGCTTGTAAAGGGGCAAAGATCTGTCGTGGTGCTGGAGGGGCCTGAGGCTAAAGTGTGAATGCGACCACTTCGCCATGGTGACGGCTCGCAGGCCACGTCGGTCCGGCTGAAGCTGCAGGCTGGAGGTCTGCCCCGTCCCCTTTCCCAGCCGCCCACCACGGAGGCGAGGCCGGAGGGGCCTCTGGGTGCGAGTTTTTGTGTTGCCATGCTGGGCAACTGGACCCCAAGTTTCCGGTGGTGTCAGGGGCTCCCCGGCTGCCACTGCTGTTGCTGCTGCTGCTCACCCTTTGCTGAGTGTGTCCTCCTGACTCGTGAAACCACGGCCTGCTTCCGTCTGGCCTTTGCACCCAACTACACAGCCCGGGCCCTGTCCCCTGTCCTCTCGGGGGTTCGGTCACGCGGAAGGGGGGTGTTCCTTGGTGGGACGCTGCGGGCACACCACCACTGTCATTCTCTGTCCTTTTGCTCCAATGGCCTTTTCTCATTGTGTGCATATGACCCCATCCACAGGGTGGAGAGCGTGAGAGGGTGATTTGTTAATTGACTGATGATTGACTGATTGATTGATTGATTATCTGATATGGATGTGCCTCACCTACCAGTGTGAACAACTACAGAATTACCTCAATTTTTATTGCTTTTTTGCTTAGAAAAACTATGTAGAAAATGCCTTAAAGTTGAAAGGTAACAGAATTGGCAGCTTGCTCCAGCCTTGGAGGGGGGATCTGGTCCTGTAGGAGGCAGACACTGGAGGTCTAGGGGGTGCCGTCCAACTTACCCACCTTTGCCAAGGGGAATGTTCCCAAACCCAGCTGACCTTGCCCCTTCTGCTCACGGTGGTCTGTCCTGGAGACGGAGGTGCGCCCGCTCACCTGCCGCTGAGGAGAGGGACGCCCACCGGGCCCTTTGGCGCTGACTGTTGCATGGAGACCCCAGCGGGCTCCAGCAGGGCAGCCTTACACCCAGATGGTGGCACACCTAGGTTCTGAGCCGTGACCAATGTAGCACTCCGGCCCTGCCGCCCACCAGCCCCACCTGCCGGCCGCTTCATCTGTTAATAACACGTCCTCGCTGGCCCCGCAGCTGAGCCACCCTCCTCTGGCACTAGTTACTGTTATGTAAATAACAAGTGTGTAACTGCATACTACTCCTCACGACTGTTAACTTCCAACTTTGACAAGGCAGTGTGAGCGACCTGCGTGACGCGGAGGTGCGGTACGGTCCTGGGCGTTGTGCTCTCTGTCTATATGCACTTTGGTTTATCAGGGATATTTTATTAGTGTTTTGTATGTATTTAATGACGTATTATATAGGTTCCATTGTCGTTGCTTTCCTGTTTTCTTTTCTAATGAGACCATGTTAGCGTGTGCCAAAGTGACTGTGAAAATGACCTTTATTCTTACTAATGATGGAAAGATCTGTCATGCATCCCATCAATAAACTCAATAAAAATTCAGTGAAACCGGGTGCTTGGGTGTGGCAAGCTAACGGCTCCTCTCTTCACCTGCAGGGCGGGCAGTGCTGCGGGGTTGCAGGTTCGTCCTGTGGCTCTACCTTGTTTCTGACTCAAATGTCTTTCCTCCCCTCTCCCTCTGCCCTGTGTAGATTCTTAGGGCCGCCCAGACACACACCCAGGCATTTTTAAGACCTGACAACAGCCTTCGGCCGCGGTTTTGAGGTTTTGAGTGACTAGTGGTAGATAAGAACTGCACAGGAGTGCCCAGGCTTTCTGCTCGTAGGGATGTCTGGCAGTCAGGAGGAGGGCCACCATCGGTCACTGCCCTGATGCCTGGCGCGGTCCCAGCCTTCAGGGAGGGAGAGGTGCCCCTGTGGCACAGGTGCCAGGGGTAGGACTCAGCAGGGACTCCCGACCTGGACTTGTGCCATGCCCTGCAGCTGGGAAGTTCTCTCACCCCTTTCCTGTGCCAGGGAGCAGTGAGAAAGCACAGGACATCACGAGGAAGGGCAGGGAGCCACCCGGCAGCAGGGAGCTGGGCTTTGGGTTGCAGGGCCCAGCCCCAGTCCGCAGGGACGCACTTGAGGCGGTGGCGGAGTTCAGCTGCCCAGGGCACTGGTGATTACTCAAAGGAAAGATGGGATGCCAGGGACAGCTGTGCCTGACAGTACTGCACCCCCCTGAGTCCAGCCCCTGAGGCGGGGCAGGAGTAATTCCGCTCCAAAGGGGCCCCCCAGGCTGCTGCAAAAGCGGTGTGACCAGGAGACACGGGAGGCGTGTGCACAGTACTCGCCCTTTAAGCGACTTGCGTGACCTTTTGAGCGGTGAACTGAGTGAACCCATGTCCTGTTACCGAGTAGAGTGTGGGAGCTGGGAGACGATCGCGAGGGCACAAACGGGGCCTATGTGCAGCCCCTGCCCGTGGGCCCTTCCTAATTCTCGTTGCCCTTTTCAGTGAGCTCACAGAGAGAAAGTCTGACTTTGTACCGTCTTTGGCATCTCTCACACACTTCTTTCTTTCCACTCAGAGCTTTGCAGAGGAATGGCTCGGTATTGGTAGCTTTCTGCTGCTGCAATCAGATACTGAGGAAAACAACTTAGAGGAGCAAATACGGTCACACTTTGGTACTCATTTTTAATTTATTGCAGAACTTGTGACAAGTGCCAAAGTCAACCATGACTCAACGAATTTGTCCCCATGAGAAATAATGTAATCAAAAAATTCTTGAGCCTTCACACTTTTCGGGGCCAATATAAGCCATTCAGACTTGGTGGTATCACTCTTAATTTTTTTTGCAACCTGTGACTGGCATTTAAAATGTACAAAAGTACAAGACAGGAACAATGGATATATGTGGGTCCTGCACAGTTTGCTACCTGTTGTGAAACTGTCTCAGGCAACAAATGCTAAAAAGTTTTTTTCTTCACTGAAATGTGATGAGTGTGGCTTTGATGTATTCTGAAGCCAACAAGTACCAAGGTATAACTGTATGTACTGTGGCTTATGGTTTCAGAGGAGTCAGTCCATGGTTGACTGGCTCCAAGGCGGAGCCATCATACAGAAAGGTGTGGCTGAGGAAAGCTGCTCACTTCCTGACAGCTCCAGGCATGCCCTCCACCAGGACAGCCACCTTCTACTGCAGGGGGCCCGAGAGTGACTGCTTTAGGCATTGGAGTCCACAGAGTCCCGATCACAACTACTCAGCGCTGCTGTTACAGTGGGAAAGCAGCAAAGATAAGAAATGAATGGGCATGGCTATATTTTCACAAAACTTCATTTACAGATCTCTAGTAAAGGAGAGAGCTAAGAAAGAGAGAGGGGTCAGGACAAGAATACACCCTTCCAGATCACAGCCACTGACCTTTGTCCAGCCCAGCGCACCTCCTAGCAGCTCATGGAGCTATGAACTCATCAGTGAATTCATCCACTGATGAATACAGCACCCCACGGTCAGTCATCTGAAAGCCCCACCTGTGAACACAGGAACCTTTTGGGGGACACTTTTTTGATCCAAACCACGTTGTTCAATGTATTAGAATTTGACTTTAAAATTTACTTCAAAGGACTTTTTTTGCATAGTACTGGAGATTGAACCCAGGCCCTTCACTAAGCTTTACCCCCATCCCTTTATTTATTTTTTATTTTGAGAAAGGGTCTCACTAAGTCCCTAAGTTGCCCAGGCTGGGTTCACACTGGATCATCCTGCCTCAGCCTCCCAGAGTTCTTGGATCACAAGGCATGTGGTCACTATGCCAGACTAAAATTTTTTATAATCGTGTTTAGGGCTACTTTTATGTACTGCACTCAGCATCTATGAATGCTAGTCATATCAAGTTTTCTTCTAAAATAAAATTCAAGTTTAAAAAAGAGTTCATTTAAAGGAAACCATTAAGCAAGGCATAATCCAGATGGTGTTAAAGACTGCCAAGTCTGTGGGTGAGGCACACAGGTGGCGTGTTTATGAAAAACATATTTACTTTCTGTGGCTTACAGTTGTTCTGCGGAAGCCAGTAGGCCTTGCTAGTTTGCTGCTGCTGTAGAATGGTAAAAGGTCAAGATTTATAAAATCCAAACTATTCTCTTGGTGGAGACCCTTTGCCAGTCAGATTTCAGGACCTACTGTTCAGCCCTTTGGAGGTATAATGTGCATCTCTTCATCTCAGAGGGCTTTCTGGTTAGTGATGCTACTTAAAAAATATGCACCCACTGGTGTATGCTGAAGAACAGCGGCAGTGATTACAGCTGTCCTTGGGAGGCTGGTTTCAGGACCTTCCCAGATGCTCAAGTCCCTTATGTAATAACATGATGTAGTGTTTGCATGTAACTGTGCACACCTTCTCACGTGCTCATCTCAACTCTAGATGACTTAGCACCTAATACAATGAATGTACTGCTATGTGAACACTTGTTACCCTCAAATGCTCAGAGAATAATGACAAGAAGAAAGGCTGTGCATGTTGAGTTCAGATGCAACCTTCTTAAAAATATTTTTGACCCATGGTTGGTTAGATCCCAGGATGTGGAACCTGCAGATACTGAAGTTGACTGTATTCTGAACATATTCTAGGTTGATGCCAGCATAGTCAAGCTCTTGACCGTTGACTTTGCCCCTTCTCTACTCATTCATTGGCTTATTTTAATGTTTAACAACGGAGAGCATTGCAGCTCACTCTTCAAAGGAAATCAGGCGGAAGATGTAAACCTGCGGGGAGGGAGGTGTCCTGGAAGGGGATCTCGGTCCTCAGAGCTGTCTCCACGCACTCAGTGTACTTACTGGGTGCTTTCTCTGTGTGGAGCCCAGCTCCAGGCATGCCCTCCACCAGGGCAGCCACCTTCTACTGCAGGGGGCCCGAGAGTGACTGCTTTAGGCATTGGAGTCCACAGAGTCCTGATCACAACTACTCAGCGCTGCTTTACAGCGGGAAAGCAGCTAAGATAAGAAATGAATGGGCATGGCTACATTTTCACAAAACTTCATTTACAGAACAGATGGCGAGACAGATTTGGTCCACCTCTGGAGCTTCTCGACTCTGGTAGATAGTAAGCAAAAGGACATAGCTGCTAGTCAGCTTCCATGGTCACTTGGTCCTGTTACCTTGGGACCTGGCAGGAACACGTGATACAGGAGGGCTGTTTACCTCATGGTGGCCAGGAAGCAAAAACAGATAAGAAGAAGTCAGCCCAATGTCCCCTCTAAGGCCACGCCCCATGACCTCACTTCCTCCAGAGAGGCCCCGCCCTTTAAAGATCCCAGCACTTCCCAATAATGCCACAGGCTGGGGACTGAGCCTTCAGCACAGACCTTTGGAGAACGTGCTAAGCCCAGATTACAACAGCTGTGTTCTAATAAAATTTTATCTACAAAACCAAGTGGAGAGACAGACTTGGCCCAGGACCATAGCCCCCCAAGCCCTGTAATTAGATCAGTGTGATGGCCAATTTTCAGGGCCCCTAGCTGGACAGGAGAGGGAGTGAGGAGAGGGAGTGAAGAGAGATACAGATGAATGTTTAATGGCAGTCTTGTTTGTGTGAAGGAAAAGACACAGGAAGGGGACCATGGGGCAGAGGCCCCCCACCAGGCTCCCAGATCTTCCTGTCAAGCCTTGTATGGCAGAAGCCATTACTGGCTCTTCTGGAAGCCCTGGTGACCCCAGGATGGCTGTGATCCGTGGTTTCTATGCCATTCAGCTGGGCAGAGAGGAGGAGGACAGAGTAAGGGCAGGGAAGGAAGCAAGTAGTGCTTTGTGTGCCCAAGTTCTGATTCTACCTCTTCCATAGACCGGGCATTGGTGTGCAAGTTTACCTGAGCAAAGCCTTCTGCCAGTTTATAAACCCTGAAAGCCACAGGTCGGGCCCTTCGGGTTTGGTTTCCCCAGGGTGAGGCCCTCCTGCTCTGCATCGTGAACACGCCCCTCGGTCTCAGTGCTGGGAAGACCCCCGCTTTTCCTGAGCAGCTGATCTGTTCGTGTCTTCTTCACACTGTGGGGCCCAAAGCCACAAGTATTTCCTCCTGATTTTGACCACTGGGAAGTGCAGAGCCGTGGCTGGGTCTGTGCCGGGCAATGAGGGCCTGATGGGTTCTTGCCAGAGCTTTGCTGACTTGAGACCCAGCGTTTCTGTTTTGAACGTCTCCCCTGCTCACACTGGCCCTCCCATGGCTGCACGTCCTCTGTTCACTGTGCTTGGCTCTGGGCTGCGGGGCCTCCCAGCACAGCCCATGCTCTGCCTCTGGGGCTTCCTGGCGGTGACAAGGTCGGGCAGCAGCCTCCTTTCCGGACTGTTAGATGTGCACTTGCCAGCTGGTGTGAAAGTGGGGAAGGTGAGGGCCTGGAAGACAGCAGGCCAGGGCTCACTTCCTAGGCAATCAGGAGACGCCTGCTGAGAAGATGAATTTCGGCTAAGCTGACAGATGAGGGAGCAGCTGGAGAAGACCAGAAGCACAGGCAGTGCAAGGGCCCTGTAGCCAGGGGCCCACAGTGCAGGGCGGGGCCCAGTCCAGAGTAAAGCTGGACAAGGGCTGGGGATTTAGCTCAGCGGCAAAGCGCCTGCCTGGCAAGCGCAAGGTCGTGAGTTCGGTTCCCAGTACCGGAGAAAAACCAAAACCAAAACAAAACAAAACAAAACAGAGTAAAGCTGGACAGGTAAGGAGGACAGGTTTCACCCTAAGGCAATGTGGGGGCAAAGCAAGGGCTCCAGGCAGGACCCACATGGTCGCGGCTTCAGTTAGGAGCAACATTCTACCTGGAGAGGTTAGGATGCAGACGAGAAGAAAGGAGGCAGCTAGTTCCTACTCTGCTGCAGCGGAGAGGAAAGCCAGTGCTCCCAGCGGAGGTGGGGAGCCGGAGGGACACAGACATGCTTGAGGGTCAGGAGGAAGTGCGGAGGGACGTGGAGGTGACCTGTGGGGTGGGAGCAGGAGGTATAAGGGACACCCCGTGAGGTGCCACTCTTTGAGTGGAGCTTGCAGTCACTCCATAAGAACAGACGGGCCTCGCTGCTCAAACTTTGAGAGGCCGAGAAACCCAGCTTCTGCGGGGCCCGCGTGGAGGCGGGGAGCACCGCTCGCAGCTTGTGTGGCCGAGCTCCTGGGCGGGGTCCCGAGGACGCCACTCTGCCGCCCTGACCAGAGGCCGCACACACCTCCCGCGTGAGCTCACTTGCCTTGCGCTGTCTCCAGGCTCTCTCACTGCCTCTTCCAGCAAGCTGTGCCCCGTGGGGGAGCAGAGTCCCCCTTACCTCGTCCTTCGGTTATTTGTCCCACTTTTCTCTTTCAGAGGGCCACTGCCAAGGTGACAAGTCCATGTTCTGTAGGATGGAAGTCTTGTCTCGCTATTGCTCCATTCCAAGCTACAACAAGCTCTGCTGCAAGTCCTGCAACCTGCGAAACGCCACCGGTGCCGACGACGAAGCAGAGCCTCTGCCCGGGAAGCACAACGACATTGACGTGTTCATGCCCACACTCCCGGGGCCCACGCTAGCCGCGGAGGCGCAGTCTTCACCCGGACCCCCGCTGGAGGTCCCTGTCAATGCCTCCATCACCAACGCCACAGAGGACCACCCGGAAGCCAACGCCGTAGACGTGCCCTACAAAATCCAGGCCCTGGATGATGAAGCCCAGCCGCCCAACTTAATCCCCCGACGACCGAGTCCGTATGAAAAGACCAGGAACCAAAGGATCCAGGCGCTCATTGATGCCATGCGGAAGAAAGAGACGCTCGGGAAGTTCTAATAAAGTGGAAAGATAGCATCAGTAGCATTTTTTTTTTCTTGCTTCTAAAGATATTTCGTGGGATAGCCAATCCTGTGTCAAGAAGATGAAGTCAGTTCCTGATTCCAAAAGTTTTGGGAAACAAAAGGGGGGTGATGCAAATATACACATATATATGTGGCGATCAGGTGAGCATGTGCGTTGCCAGTCCTGGGGTGACCTAAGCCCTGTGGGATGGAGAGGAGCGGGGTGTGGGTGGAGGTGGCAGGAAGGCAGAGGTTCTGCCACCTCCATTGGAGTGGGGTGTCGAGAGGGACGGCTCCGAGAGAGAACGGTGCCCAAGGGGCTGGGCAGTGGTGGGGAGGGGGCCTTACCTTGGAGGTGATGCAGGCTATGTCCTGCTAACGCCAGCGAGGCACGAGCCCCTGGGAGATGTGAAGGGTGGGGTTCATGTAATAGGGGGGCCATGGCCAACAGGAGCAGTGAGATGGAAGCCAGGGGCACACACGCCTTCAGGGGCCAGGCAAGAAGTGAGGATAGGCGTAGAGGCCAGTTAGGCACTGCCACCCACCTGAGGCCCACCTCCATTTAGAGCTGTGTCTGCTCCATCCATCGCTGCCGCTGTGAATTCTGGGCGCGTCTCCCATTTGCCTCAGTCCCAGCTTGCCAGACAGTGTTTAGATTTTCCCAAGAAAATTCTCAATCTTTAAAGATTCACTCAAAGAACTTTTAGTACTTTTAGCTTCTAGATGCACTAGCTGCAGCCTCTGTCAGTCATCAGCATCAGCACAGTCACGACAAAGAATTAGGACTTCAGAAAGCTCACCTGACCTGCTGGTGCTCACGCTGCTTAGCGCCTGTCTCCTTTGGGTTGGGTTGTGCGGCTCTGTCCACTTCCCCGGAGGCTGTGGGACCCCTGTGACTGGTGACAGGCTGCAGGCGGGAGGCAAGGGCAGTGGAGAAGACACTGCACTCTCTTCCTGAGCAACCGCGGCTGCACCCGCTGCCCCCTCACTCTGGGGCCTCCGCGCCCCTCCCGAGCCGGAGGGTGAGCAAGGCTGTGCTCCAGTCCGGTCTCCCTCTGCCCCGGGGAGCTGTGATGCTGGGCTCTGTGGGCTCGGTTTGCTCCTGAGTACCCGCTCCGCCCGGGCAGGCTCCCCCTTCTCTCCCTTGCCAGCCCTGCCTCGCTGCCTTAGCAGGCTCCACACTCAGTGGGGACCTGCAGACACGGTCCCGGTGGCACACGGCTGCGAAGGGCAAAGGCCCGTGCTCCCTTTTGCCCTTCCAAAACTTTGAAGAACCTGGGTTCTCGGCTCGTGACTGATGCTCTGTGAACAGAGATGCAAGGGAGAGGAAATAGGAAGGAGGGCTGAGGGCCCGCGGGAGTGGAGTGCCTGAGCTGTACTCCTCGCTACACTGATATTTCAGAAATGTGCATTCCGACACCCCAAAACGGCAAGACCAGGGGCATGTTCGCTCCTTGCTGGCCTGGCCTGGCACATAACCCTGAAGCTTCTCTTGTCCAGGGACAGTATTCTCACCAGTCATAGATCTCAGAGAACTCCATCTCGTCAAACTCCCCAGTAGACTGATGAGAATGCTGAGGTTCAGGAGGATCCCTGATGGCTACCCTCTTTTGAGTCTTGAGGTGCTAGTAAGTGTGCTTGTCTGAGGGTGTGGGCGTGAGCGTGTCTGTGTGGATGGTCTGAGGACAGTGAAGAGTGCAGGAACAGCTGCGGGGGTGTCTGAGATCACGCTTACTCGCCACCTGGGGTGACAGCTGCTACCAGGTCCAGCCAGCCTCCCTCTCCTCTGTTGCACTCCCTACCCTTTCCCCACGCTGTCCTGGCCTCTGTCTCCCGGAGAACCAAACTGGAGGATCTTTTCCAGTATCTCTCCTGGGATGTGGTGGAGCGCATGTTGTAGGCCTGCCTCTGTAAGTCGGGAACAGGTCCTAAAGCTTGCCCTCACATGCAGAATCCAAGAGACCCGGTATCAGTTATGGGCTGGAGAATGAAGTGTTGCTTGCTCAGGTCTATACTAGTATGCAGAGGAAATTCAGGGTTAATGCTAGCCCATGGGTGCTACTCAGTTACCCAGCCTAGGGGCCAAGGAATGGGGCTGCTACACTCCCAGAGCCCACAGGTGGGGCCTTCCCTGGATGGCTGGGCTCTGCCTGAGAAAGAGGTGCCCTCAGGCAGCTGAGGTCCAACCTGGCCACAGTCCCACGTGCAGTCACAGAGTTCTCCAGAGCTGAGGTGGCCCTTGGTCGTCTCCCCGTCCAAGGAGCACAGCTTCATCAGGCTCTGAGAAACTGCAGGTCTCCTCTGACCAGGTGGAGGATGGGCTTGCATGCCCTTCCGAGCATTCACAGTCACTGCTGTGGACTGGGGAGGGGGGCAGGTGCCTTCTAGCTGATGTTCCTAACACTGTGCTGAAGCCCGACTGTGCACATCCCTGGAAAGTCCCCTGAGATACCTGAGAGTCACTTCTCATTTGAGGAGAGAGATTAGTGCTAGATTTGGGGATCTAGCCCTCTGATACACTTCTAGAAAATCCATGGAATTTCATGTATAAGCCTTTGTTTGTATTTAGAGGTTTTTCTTGTCTGTTTTGAGTATATCATGGTGCTCAGTAGCAATGTCTTTGTCAGATGAAGCCTTACGACTCTATTTACTCCTGTATGACAGGTAGCCACCATATAGGACCCTCAAGGTGCTGAACTCAAATTACAAACTTTTATCTCACTGATAACTGCCACCAATACATTTTTGTTCTGTATAGTAAAATTTGAAATGCTACTTTTATAACTTATTAAAATTAAAAATGTCTGTGTTTTTGCAAACCATGACTTTGTTTGTTTGTTAGCTTTACTACACTTGTCCCCATCCCTAGCTAAACCTGGGCAGAAGGAAATGATGCATTGCCTTCACAAGGCAACCTGAGGAGTGGGGGACCCCAGGATCTGCTAAGGGGCACTGAGTGTGGCTGCCCAGTCAGGACCCTGTGGAGTGCAAGAGGCACCCCAAGGAGCTGACGCTTGAAGGACATGACTTCAGCAAGGGCCCCCCACTAATGCTTCATTACAACACTTTCTCTCCTGCAATTAGGGTTTCCACAAACAGTAGACAGCAAGTTAAATTTGAATTTCAGGGAGACAATAAACACTGATATTGTCATACACTCATTTTTTTCCTTCTTGTTCAGCTATATATCAGTCAAAGTTTACTGACTCATCATCTCCATTCGAGTTCTTGTACTACTTTTGATGTTTTTAGTTTTCATTCTAAAATATTTCATTTGGTTTCTTTTTATATTCAGTTTCCTACTGAAAATCTGACGTTCTCGTTCATTTCTTAGTCATACTTTCTGAAGCACTTCTGGAAATCTAAAGTCTTAGTGTGTAGCTGAACAGGAGGAATAATGTCCGTCCTAAAATCCTGTAGCACAGGAAGATATCTATAGTTGGCAACAATTAATTATAATCTCAACGTGGCTAGTAAAGAGGACTTTGAATGTTCCCAAAATAATGCGTCTGAGGCAATAGACATGCCATAACCTGAACATTTTACATCGTATAAATGTATTGAACTGTACCTCTTCTGTTAAAATGTAAAAACACATGAAAATAACACCTCATAAATCCAGCAGGTATCGTCTTAGAGTCAGTGTCTGTGGTCTTCTCCCAAATCAATGTTTGATAATTTCCTAATTTATGTATTTTATCTCCTTCTGCATTGAATTCTGGATATTTGGTGTATTATGAAACTATGAGTATTTAATTCTCCTGGAAAATGTTGAGCTTTTCCTACTCAGGAATTTACCTATTTTTGTGAAAGTTCCAATCCACCTCTTGTGAGGTGTAGTTCTGTCAGTGGTTTTCTATAAACATTTGCAGTGCTATTTGGACATGCCCCTTTTGGCCACTGTTCACTGTATTAGGGTCATCTATGTACAAATCCAAGGTGAATCCAGGATTGCATGGACAACTTCATGAGGTCACTTTCTTTTTCTTTGTGACTGTAACAGAAAATGCCTCCCTCCAATTAAGTATACATCAGTCTCTTAGTTGCCCAGGTAATACTTCCTATTCCAGTTCCAGCTGCTTCTATCTCTGAGAAATGGCTGGTGATTCATAGCCGGTCACTACGATGCACATTGTACAAACCAATCCCGAATTGACAAGCCATGCTGCCTCTGTGGTTTCTTACCTCATATAAGCCCTAGACCACCACAGATCGGGGCCGATATTCTGGAAATGACCCTGATCAGTGCCTGTTGACATAAATAAATCTGCCTCAAATCCTGGGTGTTGTTTTGGTGTTTCTGCATGCAGTTGCGTCTGGTGCATTGGCTGGGAAGACTGACCATGCTGACCTCTTTGGTCACCAGTTGTGGCCCTTGCAGACAGAGCAATGACCTCTCCAGGACCCGACAGAAAGGTGCACCCTAGAGATTTCTTGAGTCCCCTCAGAGGTCTGGAGGAGGATTCCTGGCTCCCTGCTCAAGCGGCTCACATCAGACCCCAAAGGAAGGAGGATGCCGTCTGTCTGCTGCTTGATTCCCGTAAGACCACCCAGGGGCACCTCAATTAGTCAGTCTGTCAGTCCTGCTCAGTTCAAGCAGAAGAGCTTGATCAAGTCTTGCTAGTTAAGACCATCTTCGAAGGGGAGGGGGTTGGAATGTTTAACCTCTGAGTGCCTGCTGAATGAATGTGTGAGTGGAATGGTCCGTGTAAGCAATAGGCTGCTCCATCTGTGCACCAAGACTGGGAAGCACTGGTCATGGTGGCTGATTGGGTCCTCACCTGCGGTTCTGTGGCAATCGACATATGACATAAAGGAGGCCTCGAACCCTCGTTGGCTAAGTTTCACCTAAGTCCCCCCCGCCAGGGGCATCCATCCTTTCTCTGTTGCACCATCATTCAAAGGTATACAACACACATGTAGGGACCAGAAATGGGAATTAATTTGCCAAAACCCACAGTCCTTGACTCCAGGAAAAAGGGCTTTTACAGAATTAAAAACAAAACCAAACTTCCCCTGCATCTCAAAGAAAAAAAAGAGGCCAGTTTTTCCTAAGAATTCCACCTTGGCACCCTCATCAGCCATTGCAGCTGCTACCAACAGTTCCACCCCCCACTCCTGACTCCTCTACTTCCAGCCAGTTGAACTGGTGCCAGCTAGCCACTGCCTGCATTCAGCCACAGAGGCCCTCCCTCCAGAGCCTTCTGCTTACATGCCTATCCTGGTCAGATGGCATCATCTAACACCCACCTGAGATGACTGTCAGCAATTCCAAGTTCCACATATTGACTGAGGAAAACTGGACTGTCAGCTCTGATGAATGAGCTGCCATGGCCTTTCCAATGGTTGCCTTGCCTAAAACACCCTAGTCGAGCACTTCTCAAACACATCAGAAAGGGGGGCAAAAAGACCATCAACTACCATTACCTAGAAACCTGATAAAAGAAAAGCACCTGATGTACGACCATACCCTCTGGCTATGAGTTATACAGACTATGGACAGTAAAAAAAGTCAGATTTTAAAAAATAAGAACTCTCAAAAGCTTCAACCTGAATCAGACGACAACGCTTTCATCAGTCTGATGAGGTAACTAGACCACACCAGGCTCCTTTCTTCAGCTTGGCCACTGGGAGCCCATAGCACCATCATCAGGGCAACTAAGACTCTTGCCTCTCACCCCTTCTGCCAGACACAAACTTGTAGCCTGGGAGGACATCTCCTGTATGAACCAGTCCCCACATCGCTTCTGGGAAGAGACCTTCTCTTCAAGTTAGAAGTGACCGTCTCCTTTGCACTAAGCCAGCCAGCCTCCTTCTTGTTTAACGCTGCACTTTCCACTCTGACTATTCTCCGAGAGGAAGACAACACCCGCATCAGCCGGAGACAGATAACCGCAACCCTGAAATTCTAAAAACTCTCTTCCCAGAGGTATAAACTAAAGACTTGTTGCTGTCAGGTGTCATGGGAAACACAAACAGGCATCCAGCCACACATCAGCCTGATAGACTGCTAATCACCTTGGGCAAGATCTCCATGATGTTAACAATGTAGTCATCACCGTAGGTTCTGCAGTTCCAAACCATGCACCCTTGTTGGACTGTTACTCAATTGCCACAAGGGCTTGGGAACTCTCCATTTTCAGGGAGGCTCTAACAACAGATCTGGCTGCTCTGAGATGGTCTGTTTCTCTGTCCCTTCCAGCTCCACACTTCTGTCACTGTCCCTGGGCCCTGAGATTGAGCCATCTACCACCTGCCTCTGATGGTGAAACCCCATCCCAGGGCAACCCCCACCTGCATCAAGCAGTATCCTATGCCACCAGAGACTCAACTAGAAATTCAACCACACATCCAGAGGTTTCAAAACTGAAAAATGTTGATAGACTGTCAAACTGCTAAAATACACCTCTCCCGCCTGTAAAGCCAGTTCAAGATCTCTGAGCTGCCAGTGTTGCTGTGATCGCCCTCCGTATATGTTGCCTCAGTTTTCTGCCACCCACATCCTGCTGGTACACATGCCTGGACCTAAAGAACGCCTTCTTCTGCCTTCAATTGGCTCCTGTCAGCCAGCCCTTCTTCACCTTTAAATGAAAAGACCCCAGTTCTGAATTCAAAAGCCAACTGACCTGGACTCAACCTCCAGAGGTTCAAAAACTTGTTTCCTCTTTAAAAAAACACTTCTGATTAATGACACTCAAGCTGCCTGCTGGAGAGACACAAAAGTTCTGCTATAATATCTGGCAGAAACTGGTTACAAGAAACTCTGCAAATTTCCTAGCACCGCTGGCTTCTATAAAATCTGGATCCTTGAGTTCACAAAAACAATGATGGTTACTCAGGCTACCATCCCTGGGAGCACCCAGTGGCCTACCTGTACAAATACTTGCATCCAATGGCTAAGGGCTGCCTCCCCCTTTGCCTCCACACTCTAATCGCCACTGTCCTTCTGATCAAGAAAGCTGACAAGCTCACCTTTGGCCAAGACCTAACTGTCCAGGTGCCACATGATATGCTGGACCTCACCCAGTACCAAGGACTCTTACAGAGCTGAGCCCAACAGACCATGACTGCCTGGCACTGTCAGATAAACTGTTCTTAAGCTGATCAGACTTAAAGAGTAACCCCACCTGACAAATGCTGAGTATGCCCTTTTTACAGATGGAAGTAGCTCTGCTAGAACAGCCTAGATATGCTGTGGTCACCTTGGACAAAGCTATTTTGGCCAAAGCTCTCCAGCTACTGCTTCCCACTGCTGTTTGGAAAACCTGCCACCAATGCAAAATAATCTGGTCCAGTGGCCTAAGCCCTCTCCAGGGATCCAACTGACTGACACACCACCCCAGCCACCAGGCCTACCCCCATTGTATATGCTGCAAGCTCAAGCCACTGTGCTGGCACCATATCCCTGCAGTCAGCTCAGGCTTGTGTCTGTGTCACCAGCCCTGACCTCCCATTCCCTACCCTCACTGAAAAGACAACAGAAGTTTATAGGGTCCTTCTATAAAAAAATCATCCCTAGATATGGCCTACCCTTGACCACTGGCAGCAACAATGGACCTGCATTTGTAAACTACATACGGCATACTGGCCACAAAGCTCTAGAAAAGTGAAAAAACAGCTTGTAATACATACCTGGTACATATTAACTACCTCCATAAATTTCAGAAATCCAGCCTTAGATAAACTGCAGAATTTATCTGGGCAGCTCCTCTGAGACTCACTCTGAAGAGAATGCTGACCAGTCCACATATGGCTGAAGCCTCAGGACATCATTCACAAGATTGTCCCATACCTATTCCTCTTGATTTTTGTGTTTCAGGCTGCTTCCCCCAGTCCTTGCTTCCCTACCCGCTCCTAGCTGTGGTTTTCACCTTAAACTCTGTGGATGTTTGCTCCAAGAGAAAAGAACAATCAATCAAACACTTGACCAAGATTTGATGAGCATCCAAGGCACATTGGACACTTCCCTAGATTAACTCCCTTACTACCTTGCCAGAATAATGTTACAGAATAGACAGGCCTAAATTACGTCTCTTTCTAAAAAGCAACTTAGGGGAAAACTCTGTAATAACACAATCCTGGGGACCTTGACTAAGACCACTAACAACCCTAATGTTACTGCTTCTAGTTGGGCCTTGTCTCAGAAGATCACGGATAATATGTCCAGCAAAGATTTGCCAAGGAAACTAAAAGGGGAAAATGTAACAGAAAATGGCCCCTCCAGACATTATACCTCAGTTTCTTCATTGCTCAGGTGATAGTTCCTGTTGCTCCTGTCTCTTAGAAACAGCTGGTCATTGTGATGCATTGCTGGTCACTATGATACACACTGTATGAACCAATCCCCAATTGACAAGCCATTCTGCCTCTGTGCTTTCTGCTTGCTTATCCCACATAAGCCCTAGACCACCAGAGATTAGGGCATTCTGTAAATGATCCTGATTAGTGTCCATCAACATAAACAAACACAAATCCTGGGTGTTGCTTCAGTGTTTCTGCTTGCCATTGCATGACCACCTGATACTCTTAGCACCCAAGTCTTCATCGTCCTCATCTAGTTAGGAATAGCAAGCTGTACGTTTTCCTCTTTGGTTCATATTTCACGGATGCATCCACCTTCAGGTCCAAGTAGCAGGAAGACAGTGAAAGAGGTAAAGCAGTGGAGATCCTCTCATTCTTTAACCCACAGTTCCTTGGACCAGAGATAAAGATTCCCCTCTCAGAGGTGCAGATGCTTGGTCAGCTGCCACTAGCCTCATCACAGGAATGCCCAGGAGTGCTACACAGTCTTATTTCAAATTGTGATTTCCTTTACCAAATCTATTTGGTATTATGAATTCTCAGGGTGCCCAGACAGCTGTCCCAAGCATTAGTTATATTCAGTGGAAGGGAGAAGGTGGAGTCAGTACCTAGAAGATAAACTCTCAAACTGGAATCCTCTTGAGTACAGAGGGAAAATTTTGTCTGGCATATTCATCACTTAATCCAATCACTTTTGCCTCAATTTTTATTAAAAGTTAGCATACAGACAAGTTTAAAGGATGCCCAATGAATATTTCTATATCTACTACAAAAAGGTTTGACAACTAGACCAATATTTTACATATTTGAAAATATCTAGCAGACATATTGACTTTTCAAACTTTTGCATGCATCTACTAATGACATTATACTTTCAATATCATTTCTAAGAAAATTAAACACAATATATTATCTAATACCCTATCCTGGTATTTTCCCCAATATTTCTGGTAACTGTTTTATTTTTTTCTGGGTCAGATGCTAATAAAGGATCACTCCTGATATTTGGTCATCTCGTGTCTTATCTAAGAGACCACTTGTCATTTTTAGTATATGATTTTCTGAAAAGCCCAGAATAAGTTGTTTACTCAGACTTATTTCTCTATTGTTTGGTATTTCTCGCAACTAGGAAGATAACTCTAGATAGATTTAACTAGATTCCCATGAAACATTTTGGCAATATACCATATACTTCTGTGTGCTTCACTTTGCATCTCATCAGAAGCTACATGTCAGCTTTTCACATAAACAGTGAAACTTGGTTAGGTGATCTCAGTATAAAACCAAATCTTTCACAATTGTTATCTCTGATCTTTTAACATCAAGAATGTTAATTTTTTTACCTTATGAGTTTTACCATTATTTTCCAGATTTAATTACATTAAGGGTTGTGAAATAATCTTTCTAAATCTATGATTAAGTGCACGTTTGAAAGATAGCATTCTTCAAATTATCTTACAGAGCTTTCTTTTTTGTCTGTTTTCATCACTATGAGCTTCGTTTTCCTTCTTGATGTATTACAACCAATTATAGTGATTTTGAAAAAATTGTCCTAAATTTGCCAGTGGGAACACATACATACCTGTGTCTACATAGTGATGTGCACCTGTCTTCTGACATTAACTCAGTAGTGCCAAATGCTATCTTGCTTTTTTCTTTTTCTGGCATGTTACACATCCCCTGCTCCATTTCTTCAAAGAGCCAGCATTCCTCTCTAGTGGGGAATGGCATTTAGAAACCAAAATTTGGGTCCTAAGAAGGCTCACTGTCATTGCATACAATGTTAAGTATTGAGATCTCTTTAAAAGTCTCATTTTCTGCTGGGTATGGTGGCACAAACCTGTAACTCCAGCACTCCTAAGAGGCTGAGGTGGGAAGATCATAGGTCAAAGCCCAGCCTGGACAGCTTAAGGAGGCCTTAAGTGAGACCTTGTATCAAATAAAAAGGGCTGGACAGCTTAAGTGAAACCTTGTATCAAATAAAAAGGGCTGGAGATTTAGTGCAGGGCAAAAGCCCTGGGTTTAACCCCCAGTACTCCCCCTACACACACACACACACACACACACACACACACACACACACACACAGAAAAAAGGCTTAATTTTCCTTGTAAGTATACTTAAATATATAAAATGATAGCTCAGTTCACAAATGTTTCTGTTCACAAACAATTCTGTTCTCAATCAAAAGCGTTTGACAAAATTTTACTTCCCTAATAAACTTCCCTTCAGGTGACAAACAAAGCACAGCCATCTTCCCCCAAATTGTAAAATAAAGTTCATGAACAGAAGTACCACATATTCTGAAGCTTAAACAAATCAATAAGAAATATTTTATGTTGAATGCTTGAGTTTAATTCTAAAGCTTTTCTCAAACAGAAGGGCCTACCTAATTGTATTAGAATATTCTAAATACCATGAAAGTCAAATACAGAATTGAAGGAAGCAAGCATGTGTGGGGAGATAAATGTTAAAGTGATAAACAGGTTTAATAATAAAATATCAACAAATAACCTTACATATAAGAATTCTTAAAAGATGTGTAATTTGAAAGGCAGCTTTATAAATGGGAAATGCCTTAAAGCAACTACACCATCTGGGTCTTAGCTAGGTTTGAGGATTTGAGTAGTTGTTATGAGCACAGGTAGTCAAGAGACCTGTAAGAAAAAGGAATATGACTGTAAGTCAACTGAGATAAAAGTGAGGGAACCCTCAAAGATGAAATGATAACTGGTTAAGCTACTGCAATTGAAGCTAACCAGGTTACAAAACAAATAGTGCTCTTGAGATGTGACAGTGGAAATAAACCTGTAACTATCACAGAACACCAGAGCTAAAGACGATTCTGTAACTGAACTCAATTTCACTAATAAAATGAAAGGCTACAATTAAACTAAAACTCTCTTGGCTCTAATGAACTACCAGGTGTATATATAGTCTATTCTATCAAATATTTACCTTCTGCAACAGATGACAAAGTATTTGCAAGAGTCTTTCCACTTCCTTTACTTCACTTCTCTAATACTGTAAGACTATTCAGCTATACAGGACTACATCAAGTTAAGAAATAATATAGGAAAGCAAAAGGAAGAGACTCCCTGTGGGTAAAATTTTAATTTTAAAAACTAAATTACAAATTTCTCTATTTTTGAATCAAGGACTTGTGAGCATTTTTTAAACAGCTCTGTGTACATGTATGTACACATACACATATATGCATGTATGTGTGCAATCATGTCCCATATAACGATGTTTTGGTCAGTGATGGAACTGAAAAATCCCCATTGTCTAGTGACATCACAGGCATGGCACAGCTGTCACAATGTCTCAGTACAGCGCATCACGCATTTGTGGTAATGCTGGTACAGACCTGCTGTGATGCCAGTCAGGTAAAAGCACAGCACACGACACTTGAGAATGATAATAAACAACTGTTACTGGTATATCTACTATACTACATTTTTATGATTATTGTAGAGCACGTCTTCTACATACCAGAAAAAGCTTACTACAAAACACTATACTGCATTTCACGGGCAGCAGCCCCACATTCTGTTTGCCACACCTCTTGGTGGCATCGAGAGGCCATGCGTAGTGATGACCTAGACCATCCAAATGCACGTTTGAGCATTTCTGCACAATGCTCATAGTGCCCACTGAAACCTTTCTAAGCATCATCTCCACCAACTGACACATGACTGTATATGTATATACGTGTGTGCGTAGATATCGCTTATAGGGTGCTTATCACACAGCCATGTAAAGAACTCTTTTGCATCTTTATCATCTCTATGTGAAAAAGGAGCACTTCCTAAGTCAGCCTGCCAATTTAGGAAATGAGGCCCCACATTTATTCACATTATTAATTCAGTGACTACTCATAAAATTCACATATTGAAGCTCGCTCTTAGAGTTTAGAGTCTGAAGTAAAACACATCCAACTATTTACTTTTCTACAAAGTGAGGTCTTTCATGCTTTTTCTATGAATTTAAAAACTGTCTTTAGAATTTAATAGTGCTTATAAAATTTGACATCAGTGCTCTTCATATTTTTACTGATAAACTGATCTTAGTATTAACTAGCTTTTTTTCCTGTAGAAGTAAAAAGGATTGAATCTATTAGGAATTTGTGCTGTATTTACTATTGCGCTGACCACTATCTAGTGAGAAGTCTTGGATTATTAGAGAGATAAAGCTCACAGGTTGTCTCCTCTCAGAAATTTCTGATACTGAGTAAAAGAGGAGCCATAGATGAACTGTTTCCCATATTCCTTCCATTTGTAGAGTCTCTCTTTATTGTGGACTTTTTTGTGTCTACAAAGGTTTGATCTGTAACTATAGGCTTTCCCACATTCCATACACTTATAGAGTTTCTCTCCAGTATGGATTCTCTCATGCTCAGTTAGGAACGAATACTGGCTGAACGCCTTTCCACACTGGTTGCACTGATAGGGTTTCTCTCCAGTGTGGATTCTCTGATGCCTATAAAGGTTGGATTTGCAGCCAAAGGCTTTACCACATTCTTGACACGTGTAAAGCTTTTCCCCAGTATGGATTTTCCGATGCTCATTAAATGATGAATACTGGTTGAAGGTTTTCCCGCATTCATTACACTGGTGGGGTTTCTGTCCAGTATGGATTCGCTGATGTTCAATAAATGTGGAGATGCGTGTGAAGGTTCTCCCACACTCCAAACACTGGCACAGCTGTTCTCTAGAATGGAGTCTCTGGTGTTCCACGAGGGATGGAAACTGGCTGTAACCTTTCCCACACTCATTACATTTATAAGGTTTCTCGCCTGTGTGGATTCTTTGATGCCTATGAAGCTTTGCTCTACAGTTGAAGGCCTTCTCACATTCAGCACATTTATAGAGCTTCTCTCCAGTGTGGATCCTCTGGTGTACAGTGAGCGTGGAACACTGGCTAAAGGCCTTCCCACACTCCCTGCAGCGGTAGGGCTTCTCTCCTGTGTGTACTCTCAGATGTTTGATGAGGGTGGAACTACTATTGAATGCTTTTGCACACTCATTACACTTGTATGGCTTCTCCCCAGTGTGGATTCTCTGATGTGTGAGAAGGGATGACCGGTGGCTGAAGGTCTTCCCACACTCATTACACTTGTAAGGTTTCTCACCAGTATGGATTCTCTGGTGTTCCAGAAGATGAAGACTCTGGCTGAAGCTCTTCCCACACTCATGACAGACAAGAGGTTTTCCTCCTGGGTAAATCTGCAAGCATCTCATTAGATCAAAATTCTGTGTAAAATTTTCCCTGAAAGTGTAATACATATTGGGTACCATCTCCATGGGAACACTCTGTTGTGAAATAAGAACTGTGTTTATAAATGAGCTCTTCGCCAACTCCAGACTTGTGGGATTTCCATCCTCACTGACAGTTTTCTTGGGTGAGGTTGCCAGCTGCCTAAGGGGTTTCTTTTGTTGCTCCCATAGTATCCTATCCTCAGAATCCACAGTTTCTCCAAAGTTGATGTCCCAAGGACCATACTTAGAGGAGTTTTTCTTTATTATTCCATGAGATGTTTCTTCAATAAAAATGTCTTGTCTGACAGGCACTACTTCTATGTCAGGCCAAGTCTTGAAATCTGAAATGAACCAGAAGAATTAATGCCTCCTAGAAGAGACAAATAAATGCATTAGTGGGATAATAAAATTAGCAACAATGCACACAAAAGAGGTTTGGCAGCATCTGATTTCAAAAGTAGACTTGAATATGGAGAAGAACAATACGGGATAGTGGAGAGAGAAGGAAATAGTGTTGTGGCACAATACATTGGGCAGTGAACAGGATGTACCCAGGTAGAAGTCAAGTTAGACTTAGAAAGAACAGGCCATGCAGAAGGTTTGAGGATTCAAGACAATGTCATGTAACAAGCTCAAGTTGAATACTATGGGGTTCTCTAAATTGTCATCATTTCCAGCTCTGTGTACACTAGGCAATAGAGTAAGTAACTTGCCTTTCTTCTCTCCTTTTTTCTACTGATTATATTCTTCCCATCTTCCTGTGAAATCCCATATGAAATAATTTTTATTTTTATTTATCTATTTATTTTTTTCTTTTTGAGACAGGGTCTCACTATGCAGTTCAGGCTGGCCTTGAGCTCACTTTGTAGCCCAGGCTGGCCTTGAACTAGCAATGATCCTCCTGCCTCAGCTGCCCGAGCACTAGGATTACAGACATGCACTACTACACTCGGCTTGAAATAATTTTTAAACATTTGCATTTTTTTATATTTTGTGAGTTATATGTAATTATAACTTCATATCACAGTCTGTTTAAAAGGAGAACAGCAGGCTGGGCATGGTGCTGCATGCCTGTAATCCCAGCACTGGGCAGGCTGAGACAGGGGGATCCTTGCGAGCTTGAGACCAGCCTACACTACATAAGTGAGCTCAAGGCCAGCCTGAACTGCTCAGAGAGACCCTGTCTCAAAAAAACAAAACAAAACTAACTAACTAACTAAACAAATAAATAAAAGGAGAACAGTTTTAAATTTATAACAGTTGCCAGGGATGTAGCTCAGCAACACAGTACCTGCCTGTCAAGCACAAGGTCCTGAGTTCAATTCCTAGTACCCAAAAAATAAATAAAAATTAAAAAATAAATTTACAACAGTCCTGAGGCATGACTGAGGGGATAATATTTGATCTAAATTCAAGATTCTGATTTAAAGAAGAGAAAAAAATCAGCTACCTGCAACAATATACCCCTTGGAGAAAGAATGTTTTCATACTATCTTTCCTTCACTTTTCCCCATTCTATTAGGCCACGAGAAAAAACACAAGACATATTCATTTCCTTTAATAAGCTGTAACCAGAAGACTAGATTCTCTCTGTAGAAATCCTTTTTGAATGATACAAACTGAACTCAGAGCCTCACACATGCAAGTGCTCTACCACCGAATGACATTCCCAGCCTTTGTAGAAATCTTTTGAGAACAATAAAAATCTGTAAGATACATGAATTCGATTTATCTTGAAGTTCTGAAATATGTCCAAGCTCCAAGCTCAGCTGTGATCCTAGGTAGATAGATTTATCTTGAGTCAATTTCAAGGCACTTTGGGTTAAACCTTTCTTTACTTAACCCTAACTGAAAACAGAATATTAGGTAACTGCAATTAGGCATTTATAAGTGCTTCAATAAACCATGCAACCTAAATAAAACACAACTGACCTGAACATCTCACCAGACCATGCCTCCTACCTTCTTCATCTATAGACTCCCTGTGCCCAGTCCCAGTGTCCCATTCACTTACCTGGACTGGTGTCTGGAGGCATTTCTCTTTCCTCTGCGCAGGGATCTTCTCCTCGCTGCAACTGGCAAATCACTGTAGGTGTTGAAACTGGAATTCCTGTTCACACGAGGGAAATGGAGTCTGAACAAAGAGCACAAAGAGCAACCCTACAAAGAACTCATACGTCACTCTCTGGGAGGTGGAGTGGGCAGCACAGACACTGTGGGGGGAACTAGAGTTCCAAGGGGTAGATGAGAAGCAGGGATTAGCAGCTCAGAAGTAATACCGGGCCCTGGCAATGCACATCTCTAAGACAGGGTGGTCCCACTACATTTTTCAACATCTGAATGGGATCTAATTGCTGCTCTGCTTCATGAAGGAAAATTTACTGGGGGGTGGGAGTAGTGAGGAAGGGCAGAAGGAGGAGAAAAGGTTAACATGGTGAACACTGCAATAAAAATGTACACCTTCAACTCTGCAGAGATTTAACTTTTCCCGGGTACACAACAGTGTGGAAACCTGAAGGCTCTAAACTCAGAGAGGGCACTCATACCTCTAGCATATTTTTCCTTAGAGGCAAAACTCCTTACCCAGGGAGACCAGGTTGCTGTAGTTCTCCAGCATGACCTCTCGGTACAAGCGTCTCTGACCGGGGTCCAGCTGCAGCCACTCGTCCTGGCTGAAGAGCACAGCCACATCCCTGAAGGTCACGGACCCCTGAAATGGCAAAGCCATTCCTGCTTACCCAAGAACACGTTCTTTAGTAGAAACTCAGTAAGATGGTGACAGCGGGTGCTCAGCAGGCAGTTCTGAAGATGTCACAAGATTATTTCACATTAACTATTTATGTAATTTTAAAAAATGAACTATTTAAATAAATAAGTATTTATTGAATACTCATTGGGAGCAAAGATACATGTCATATGTTGTGGGGATAGGTGAAAATTAGCAAGGTCTGTGCCAACAGAGAATTAAAATTCCACCCCTTTTTTTTTTTTGGTACCAGGAATCAAACTCAGGACTTTGCGCTTGCCAGGTAGGTGCTTGCGCCATTGAGCCATATCCCTGGTCCAAAATTCCAGCCTTTGATCTTTCAAAGTGACTGAGCGTGTCTCCCTTCTATCCAAGACCCAAATTAAATATGAGAAAAAAATCAGACAAATGCTAGGAAATGAAAAAAATCCTACCAGCTCAATAGAAATAAAGAATTTCTGAGACATACAGCAAATAATAAAAACAGTGTTAGCTAATATTTAATCAAGTTTGTAGGGACTATAACAGAAATTATGTATATAATACCTCTTTTAAATCTAAAAATCCTATGAGGAAGATACAAATAAATAGTTTTGCAGAAGAAACAGGTCTAGAAAAGTCAAATAATCTTCCCAGGTAATGTCTTTAGAAAGTGGTGGAGGTAGGATTTGAATTCAGGTAGATGGACCTCTAAATTATATCGTCAGATGGGTGTCCATTGACTATGAAAACAAAAAGAACCACAAAACCTGTAAGACTATTCATGTGCAAGAGGGAACTAAGAAAGTTCTGACAAGAGAAGACCACTTAAAACTCCAAATGGGAGAAGGCATAAGCTGGGCAGATGGCTACTCTTTTGTGAAACACAAGAGCTAAAAGAATAAAAATGGCACAATGCTTTTGGCAGGCATGTTGCTGAGAATCTGTGAAAATATAACGGGCACACCACTCTGACTTTGCACTTCCAGGATTCTACCACAAGAAATAATCATACAACCTGGCAGAGATACTTGGTCAGGGTTATTCATGGCAACATTATTTATTATTTAATGGTTGTGGTAGGCTGAATATGGAACCTGCCAAGATTACATGAGTGACAGATGGGACTCTGAAGATCTGGAGATGAGGAGAGTGTCATGGATTGCCATCCAGGTGGACCCAATGCGATCACAATGGTCCTTGTAAGAAGGACCAGGAGGAGTTTGGCATGGAAGGGAAGATGACAAGATGATAGGGCAGGGACTGATGGGACATGCTCCAAAGATGGACGCAAGGGCCACAGGCCAAGAAAATCAGCAGCACCGGACTGTGAAAAGGACAAGAAACCAATTTCCTCCTCAGTCTCCAGAAGGAACCAGCCCAGCTGACAGCTGGAGCTTATGCCAGTGAAAGTCGTATCAGACTTCTGACTTCCACAACTATCAGGGAATAAATTTATGTTGTTTCAAGCTATTGAATTTGTGGTAAATTGTTACAGCACCATCAGGAAACTAACATAATGGTGAAAAATGAAGACAACCTACAGTTTATCAAGAAGTAAATGGAGAAGCAAAGTATAGTACATTCATTCCATAAAATACTGTGCAGCCTTTGAATAGAATGAAGGAAATGAGTATGCTTGATATTGGAATTAGGTCTTAATAGATTACTGATTCTTATAAAAAAGCTGTAAGACAATCTCTATTTGTTGAAAAATGCTGTACACACACACACACACACACATACACATATTTTTTTTTTTACAAAAAATATCCAGAAGAATACAAGTTGTTGCTCAGATTATTCTTTAATATTTGTGGAGAAAAGTAGAAAAAGAATCTTTTACTTATTCCTTCCCTTCTGTTTCTTTCTTTCTGTGGTACTACAGACTAAATCTAATAGTGCTCTACCGCTGATCTAGATCACAACCCCTTGTAATCTTTTGGTTTGAGACAGGGTCTCACCATGTTGCCCCAGGCTGGCCTCAAACTTGCAATCCTCTTGCCTCGGGCTCCCAAGTAGCTGAGATTTCAGGCATGTGCCACTGCAGGCTTTCATATATTTCTTGACATCTTTCTATTTGGCTTGCTTTGTTTCCTTTGTGTGTGTGGTCCTTTCTTTTGAATTCTTTCATTATTTATTTATTTTGTAGTGCTAGGCATCAAACCCCGGGTCTCATACATGCTAATCATGTGCTCTACCACTGAGCTTTACCCTCAGTCCTTGAATTCTTTTAGATTCCACTTTATATATTGACTTTTCAGTTAGACCTCTTTGCATTTTTAGGGGTTGTTCTAAGACTTATGATACAAATTCTTGCTTATTCCTAGTCTATTTAGAATAAACACATCTTTTCATATAGAATGCAAGAACCTTTCATGTATACAGGATACCACTACCTCTTTTTTATGCTATGGTTGCTAAAAAGACTTTCCCAGTCAAAGAGCTGACAGGATTCACCAGATTTTAGGGAATATTTCGTATGAGGCTTTTACATAAAGGCCAAAAGCTGCAGTGCAGCCTGAGCATGCAGGGAAGCCTAGAGAGGCTGAGACACCCCACCTCAGCCTCTCTTACCTGCACAGGCTGTAGGCTGCTCTTATCTGCACAGGATATAGGCTGGATACACATGAAGATGCTGAGGGAACTCAAAGGAGCAACTCTCAGCAGAAGCCTTTTGTGCAATCAAATAGGGCTCGTCAGGCAATGTCGGCCAGTTGCAAACCATCAGTAAAAAGGTTTCCTGGGGTAGCCAGTTTGATTTAAAATACATATGTTGCCCTTATCTTGTCTGAACACGAGTCATAAAAGATATGCAAGCATCTCCAGAAATAGAGAAGTAACTTCCCAAGGTCACATCCCAGGCTTGCCTTTAAGCCCATGAAGTCTAGCTCGAGTCCATGTCTTTACCTGTGGTTTACCACTCTCTTCTAGAAAAGCAACCATGAAAAAGAGGTTCTGGGGTGTGGCAGAATCGACAATCCACAGAAGGGAGGCAACAAGGAAGGGAGCTGATGCCAGGGGAACAATGGGAATTCCACATGGAAAGTTACTAAGCATTTGGGAATGGTGGACTGGAACTCTATGAGAGGCCTGAGGACAGAGATTGGGAGAGAGTCTCGGAAAGACAAGGGTTGAAGTAATGAGAATGGGTCTCAAATGAGAAAACCAAAGAGGGGTAGGAGCGTAGTATGAAGTAGCAGTGGGGAAAAGAAATCAGAGAATGTGATGAGGAGTTAAGGCAGCGCTTACACTGAAAAAGAGGACATTGGCCAGTTTACCATCACAGCAGTAACAGGCAGAGAAAGGCCCAGCCCTGTCCTCCCCAGTGCCAGCCTCAATGTATCAGTCTTGCCCTTCAGTTTCAATTCCAAATGACCCCACTTCTCGGATATTTCCCATGACTCACCTTGCATATCTAATCACGCTTCCTAAAATCAGTACTACTTGATGAAAGAAATAACATCTTTCCTCTTTGTATCCCCAGTGTACGGCCAGCATCCTCTACCCTGTGGGTGCTCAATAAAGTTTTGTTGAAGGAGTCTAGTCCTTCTTTGTCTTTGCCCCAAGGAATTAGTATGACTAACTCCTCTGCAAAGAAAAATACTCATCTGCTAGCCTGTATTCCTTACCAACAGGAAGTATATATGCAGCAGTGACTCAAATTCTTATCATGAAATGAGCTGGGGTGACTTAAGAGTGACCCAGAGCCTTGGGCACATTTGCATGTGTCTACAATCCTTGCTACTCTGGAGGCTGAGGCGAGGGAATTGTAAATTCAAGGTTAGCTGAGGAAACTAAGCAAGAAGCTGTCCTGGAAGTTTTTTTGAAAGAGCTGGGGATGTGACTCAGTGGGAAAGCACTTGCCTAGGTTCAATGCCCAGTACCAAAGAAAAAAGACTGACCTGGAGACAAATAGGCACATTCCTTAGCAGCCCCTCGCTAAGCCCAGTATTCTCAGAGAAACTTTCAAGGCTCTCGATTCCCCATGGTTTTCACTGGGTAGAAAAATACCTGGAGAAGGTATGTAAATGTGTTCACATCTCTGAACCCAGACAGCAATTCATATAAAAGATAAACTTTACTTACTGTTACCCAAGCAGGCAGCAAATCCATAGCCAAATCTGTTCCTTCTCAGTTTTCCTGTCAAAGGAGAACACAGTGCTGACAAGGTAGGTCTGGAAAAGAAAAAGTGTCATTAGGAACTCTGGGGTCAAGGGATGGCTTGGAGAGAGAGAGTTCCAACTACCCCAACATCCAGCCGGTCTCAGCAAAGGCACCCTGCACATACAGCAAACCAAGTGAGAAGAACAGTGACCAAGCCAATTTGCTAGTCTCCATCCCTTCCCTGTATCAACCAGACTTCTAATTTCTGCAAAATGATATTTTAATATCCACCGAAGGGTCTATTAGCTGCCTCAAAGAAATTGTGACCCATCCACAGATATTTAGGGTCTTTGATAGGTTTAAACTGTACATTCTGACAGTCACAGGGAACCTGAATTTCCTAGGGCAGGCACTTGCAAACAGAGCAGATCTTAAGCCTGCTTCCCTGCTTCACCTTTTCCTTCCTGGGAAAATCACAATAATGGTACCTGCCCCGTTTTCTTCTCTGCCTGGTGACAGACCCCAGTGTTTGTCTCAGTGGCCTCAGGAAACGCTGGGTCCCTCTCAAGAACTGTGAGGTAACAATGTATAAAGGTTCTCAGCTTCTCTGTCTTGCCCTGGGTCTGGCCATACCGCAACCTGCCCAAGGTAATATGATGAAAACATTGCCCCAGCCCAAGCTCAGTTGCCACTCTCCAACACTGACCCCGCAAGTGCCACATTTTAGGGTATCCTCAGCCCTTCTCTTCCCACAGTGCACACCGATTCGGGAGGAGGGTAGAATCCCACCTGCTCAGTGTCTGCAGTGCCTGGAGCAGCCAGGCAAGTGTCACGAGCTGCAATGGGCTCCTCTCACCCACCCAAGGAGAGCACAGCCTGAACATGTTATGAAAGCCCAAACCTGGGGCATCTCAGCCAATCAGAAAAGTGTGGTAGAAGCTATCATAGCAACTCCAAGTGCAGCCTCTACACTAACTGTCTTGAGTGCTTTTTTTATGTAGTATTTTAAATCTTAACTGTAATTCCAGAAAGTAAATACAGTTGTCCCTCTGTATCTGTGGGTTCTGCATCCATGGATCCAACCTAAAAAAACTATCTGTACTGAACATGTACACATTTCTGTTTCTTGCATTACTCCTCACACAATACAGCGTAACAACCATATCCAGCATTTACACTGTATTAGGTATTGTAAGCAGTCTCGAGATGACCTAAGGTACATCATAGGATGCACAGATGATAAGAGTCAGGATTTTAGTATCCTGGGGTGTGAAGGTTCGCCGTTTCTGCAGGGGGTGGATATTTCTCCCACACTGTACAACCCGAGGGAGACAGAACTGAAGATCGGCGCCCTGCCCAAAAACACATACGCAAAGGTAAGTAGCACAGGCCAAAATGGAATCTTCGTTCCAGTCCATGGCGCCAGTCAAATTTTGGCAAATTTACCTGGCCACGCTGTGCCTCGGTTTCCCCCTCCGTAAATGGGATCGGCACAGGCCTAATCCCCCTGAAACTCGGTATTAAGATGTGCTTTGGCATACATCAACTCCCGATGGATGAATGGAAACATTATGTACTGCAAACCTGCACTACTGAAATTAAAAGTCCGACCTCCTCCTCCCCCAGAAGTGTTAATTTACCTAAGACGCTAGCCCGACGCCTGGCACATGGACGTTCCTTGTAGCCGTCAACCACTGTGTTTGGGATGCCGGTCCCGCTAAGAAGCCACAAAAGAACGAGGGGAGCGGGCCCTGACTGGAGTCCCCGCCCCGGGTCGTCGGTGCCGGCGGGGCGCCGCGCTCAGGCCTGCCTGTCCGCCCGCCCGGCGCCCCGCGAGACGCGGGGCCGTCCACTCACACGGAAAGGCGCTGGCTCCCCTCGCGGCCCTCGAGAGGTGGCTGCGAACTCCTCAACCCCAGGCCGGCCGTGGTAGCAGGGCCAGGAACCCCAAGAAAGGCCGCGAGCTGCCCCGCGCCCCGCGGGAGAACTACGGTTCCCGGCATGCCTCGGGCCACGCCCGCGGCGCTTCCCAGGGGCCTCTGCGCGAGGCGACTTCCGGGAGGTGGACCGGCTCTCAGCGCGGAAACCCGGCCGAGGTGGTAGGTTGCCTCGGTCAGCTGCGGGCGCAGTGTGTAGGCGCAGCGATGTGACAAAACTAACCTGGATTAGATGTCTTTATTTCGGAGGATCGGGGTGCGGTAACTCCCACCACTAGTTATGATTGTCATTATTTTAGTCTGTACAGTGCAGATCCCATATGCATAGGTACAGTTGAAGGATAATCTAACACGCATCGAACACTTGGTTCACAAACGAGACAAAAACTTTTCCAGAATTTTGGAAGCTTGGCCCACAACGTCCCCCAGGTATCTTTTTGAATTGTTTTCAGCATTCTCTAGCTTATGATGGCTACACACAATGTACGAGAATTTTTCTTGATATCTACACTATGATGATCCCTGTTCTGTTGTGCTGAGAATAACTGAATAAACTGAAGGGTCAACATGTAGGGTCAGGGGTCTGTAGGCGCAAAAAAATAGAAGAGGGGCCTCATTAGATTTACTACTCCTGACTGGAAGGGGTTAAAAACAAACTTTAGAGAAATTCCTCTGGGAAGCAGGTAAAGCATGGAGGTAGGGAAAGAGAAAAACCAGAGAAAGGGACCAAGGGACTTGCATCAAGAGCCGGAAGAGCTGACAGGCAGGTCACAGCCAAAAGAACAAATGATAAGCCACACCCACCTCCAGTAAAATATAGGGAAAGCAAGGGTAGTTGACTAACTTTAAGACAGTATGTACTCACACCTATAGACTAACAATACATATATACACGTGTTCACTCTAGAGTTACTATATTCACTCTAGTCTTTATAGGGTACGATAGCCACATGCCTCCTAACTCTTAAGCTAGCCATGAATAAGGTACCCCCTTGCCAGCTAGCTGCTCACTCCAAGGTAAGTCCTTAAAAGGTAAATTAAGAAGTAAACAGACACAAGCTGCAGAGATCACTGGAAGAAGTGATGGTAGACAGAAGTGCCTGGAAGCCAATCGTTATGGCAAGTTATGGGTCCTCCAACTTTCCTGAGCTCCCTACCTAGATTCTTTCTTATCTTGGTAACTATCATCTCTCTTCCCCTTCCTTTTCTGCTTTACAAATAATGTGTCTTTCATTAAACTTTGTTCCTCTTTTTTAAAAAAAATTCGGGCTGAGTTTATGATCCCAGTGGGCTGCCTGGACAGCACAGCAGCAGTGCCTATCCACCAGATCTGACATCTTTGGTTCCCTGACCAGAAGCCACACATGACAAAAGAAAAAGCAGAGACTACTGTCATCTCTGTGAGAGAAGACTGTAGTTTGGAATGACAATAATTATGAGAAGTGGTTGGATGCTGGATATATTTTAAAGCAGAGCTGATGGTTAACACAAAAGAGACACACAGGCCTTCTGAGAAACTGTACTTGTATAGGAAGCCCTTCCCAAATGTCATCTTGGTCCGTTGGAGTTTATATTTGTAATCCCAGGAGAAAGTTTTTGGAATTCCAGTAAATTAATTCCAATCTACCACTTCCAGTGCAACCCATGGGGAGAATAAAGACACTCAGGCATATTTGTAGTTGTGGGGAGCCAAGAGGGTCCTAAGCCCAGTCAGAATGATGGCTAACCTGAATAAAGGTCTTGACCAAGGGCCAAACCAGGTATTATTAATCCGTGAAAAGTTAAGTGGCCCAGGGATGAGTGACTGAGAAAGGCAGGACGTACGAGTGCTCCGAGTTGGACTAGGTAGGCAGCCTGACAGCACCTCTGCAGTTGCAGAGAGATATGCAGAAAGAGTAATCTGCATATCACAGATTGAGCATCTAGTATTCAGGGGTTGGTGCTTCAGCTTTGATGTTAATCTTCTTGCCCTGAGATGTCATGGCCTCTTTCTCAAGGCTCAATCCCAGCTGACAGCACTGTCACTTGGCATAGCTCACATATACTAGCTGGCAGCAGTAGGCAGAGCATCACTGACATGTTGCATTCTTTTGAAGACTACACAGCAGCACCTCAGCTAGACCGATTTGCACTGCTTAAAGCCAACTGAGGGGCTAAAGAAATATTCTAGCCAGCTCCGTACATATCAACACACGAAAATAGGGCCAAGTGCTCTTCTTTCAAGGAGAGCCGTCCAGATGGTCCTCTACAACTTCCATCATGGTTCTAGCTGGCCCAGGCAGCATCTAACTCAAGAGCGGGCACCAAGCAATCTGAGACTCTTGTGTTCCCCCTACACCATTTCCTTACATCATGCCCAAAGGTAAATTACCATCCCAAATTTTGTTTATATGGTGGTCTCCAAGGTTTGCAATTAGTAAACCATGACACATCATTTAATCTGAGTGAAATATATTAGTCATTTTTGACCATCAGAATTATCATTCACGACAGGGCCTTAATTTATGTCTCACTGCCAGGTGGCTCCAAACCACTGGTGAGGCAGGACCTCAAAGCCATCTGACAGTACAGTCATGCACGTACAACTGGTGTTTTAAGTCGGTGGGAACATGTTAATTCTATGTGCCCTCCAAAACTAGTTTACAAGGCTTACAACTTCTACCTACATGTCCTGGAATGTCTGCCAATAGGATGCTCCCTCAGAACCGGCCACCCTTCTGTGAGAAGCCCAAGCCATGTAGAGTAGCCCAAGCTCTCAGCCAGCAGCAGCAACAGCTGCCAGCCATGGTGAAAAGCCTGCCCAGCTGAGCCTCTACAGAGAACTCTAGTGATTTCACACACATTTCAAAACTCAGTATTGCTATACCTCTTAATTGTTTTCTCACCTGTAGTTACTACATCACACCTGTGGTTCTAATTTTTAAACTACTAATGAAGTTGCCATCTTTTCATGTTCTGGGAAACTGGTATTTCCTCATCTGTAAAGTAAGTAGTCATATGGTGTGGAAATGATTGAAGTATATCTATGTACAAATATGCCTCAGTGAAACACATTATTTTGTATACCAACAAAAAATTAAGTAATCATATATCTTGACTTTTTCCTAGTAATTGGTAAAGATTCTTTAAAATTTGCAGATTATATAGTAGTTTTCTGGGCATACTGTGGAAAGATCCATTTTGTGTAATGACTTTTCACTTCCTTTTTGGTATATTTTGATAACTGGTTCTTTAACATGAACAAATACATCAAAAGTTTCATATACTTATCTGTATTAAGAAATCCTTCCCTGCCAGGTGTGGTAGCCCACACCTATAATCTCAGCACTCAGAAGGATGAGGCAGGAGGATCACCATGAGTTTGAAGCTAGCCTGGGCTACACAAGCAAGTTCAAGGCCAGCCTGTGAGACCTTGTCTCAAAAAACAAAATAAAACAAAAACTCCTTCCCTGCCTTGAGGTCCACAAGTTATTCCTTACACAGTTTTCTAAACAGTTGCCTTTCACACAATTAGAGGGTCAGGACCTAATTTTTTTGTGTGTACCACTTTTGTGTCTCAGAGCACTACCAAATAGTTCATTCTTTCTCCAAATTCCTTTCAATTCTTCTCCATATGTATGTGCCTTTCATCACAAATGCTTTTTACAATTTACCTTTTATCAGTAAAAAAAACCATGATATTTATGACATTATTAGCTTTGTTTACTTTGGGATTACATTCAGTAAGTTTTGTTTAAGACTTTTACATCTCTCGTTCACAGATAACATTGGCAAGTAATTTTTCTTCCTGTACTTCCCTTGTCTGATTTTAGTACTGAGTGAGTTTAGCCTCATTGCTCTCTGGAAGATTTGCATAAGACTTGAATATTATTACTTCAAAGTTTGGTAAATCCTCCCTTAAAAACTGGGCCTATTTTCTTTGTGGAATTTTAACCCAGACTTAACTCCTTTGATAATTTTGAGGCTACTCATACTTGGGTTAAGTTATATTTTCCTAGTAACTAGGGAATGAGAGAGAGAATGTAAAAGAACAGTTGTAGGAAAAGGGACCTTACAGATTGTTAAATGCCCAGAAAAAGTATATTCCTCTCAAGTCTGAAACAATAAGACCTATTATTCCCTAGTGGTAGGATGAATGTAATCATTTTTGTTCTGCTTATTCTCCACTCCTACTATGAACTTTCCTTTTTAAGCTCCCTGGCAACATGAAAGATACTACCATTTTACAAAACGTTTGAGCCCTTTAGTATTTGCCTAGTATAAATTTCACGAAACTGTTAATTTCTGAAAGCTCAACAATTTTATTAACTTGTGATATAACCTTTCTAGCTTAGTAATATGATGATTCACATTTTACAAATGCTGAAACTGTTAGAGGATATTAGCTTCATTATTTTTTAGGAGAAAAAGCATCTGAACATAAAGCCTGCATTCTACCCAGTGGCCTTCAGAATGTAGGAAGGAAGCAAGCTTTATGTGACAGCATCAAAGAGTGTATGTGTGAGTCACCTGGCTAACTCTATCTCCTGGGAGGACAACCTGGGCTCCATATATTCCCAGTCATCTTAGTGACTGGTGACCAGAGATCTCAAGGAAAAAAGCTCAGTGTGGGAGCTGAGGATCTCACTCCTTATAAGTGCGCTAATTTCTAATTCCTACAATACTTATCAGTAAATTAAATAGCAAAAGTGGTAAGTCATCTGAATAACTTTTACTTTTCAATTTAGTGTAGCATGGGTAATCACTTTTTGATAAAGATTAAATATTACGTCTTTTGCGACATAAAGTGACTTTAGCTTAGAATCACAGGTTGGAGAAAGTAGGAAAAAACTGCAAGGAACAGTATACCTGCATAGTTCAGAGTGATTTTCTTCTCAAATGAATAGCTTTTAGAAAGTGGAGAAGTGACCTAAAGTTTTAATAACCATTAAGTATATAATTTGTTTTCAGAATATTAAAAAACAAATTTTAGTGAGTGAGGTAGACAGTTACCTGGGTACATCTTTTTCCCAAATATTCTTTCTAGTATAATTAGCTTGCATAAGATCTAGATGCAGTTTCAAAAAATACATCCCTAAACATATCTTATGGCAGCACTTTTACCTAGATCATTTTCCAATGATGCTAGTGAAAGCTAGCAGCAGTTAAACACCACTAGAAAGTAAAATGCCAGTCCCCCAAGCTCAGAGTCTGTTTTATAGTCAATAATAACTTAACAACATATGAAAAACGTTTTATCAATGCTTTCTTAATATTCCCAAGCTTACCCTGCATGAAGTGCCTGTTTGATGTGGTCTAATTATAAAGTTTTACCCCCAGTGATCTAACTATCTATCATTTTTCCCCCAGGATGAATTCAATAGTCAGTATGGAATGGATTTCACCTGGAATATTTCCCACATGCATTGTACTCATGCAGTTTTTCTTAATTATGAGTCCTCTGATGATTAGTAAGAGATGAGCTCTGACTAAAAGCTTTCCCACATTCTTTGCATTTATAAGGCTTTTCTCCAGTGTGAATTCTCATATGTGTCATCAAGGATGAGCTCTGTCTGAAAGCTTTCCCACACACTTTACAGTTGAATGGTTTCTCTCCAGTATGGATTCTCTGGTGCTGAATTAGGGCTGAGCTTTGGTTGAAGGCTTTTTCACAGTCATTACATTTATAAGGTTTCTCTCCAGTATGAATTTTTCGATGAGTATTCACTGCTGAGTGGGAACTGAAAGCTTTCCCACACTCTTTGCAATGATATGGTTTCTCTCCAGTGTGAATTCTGTGGTGTATGTTAAGCCGTGAGATCCAGGAAAAGGCCTTCCCACATTCCTCACACTTGTAGGGCTTTTCTCCAGTGTGAATTCTCTGATGCTGGATAAGTGCTGAGCTTTGGCTAAAGGCTTTCCCACATTCTTTACATGCATAGGGTTTCTCACCAGTGTGAATTCTCTGATGTATAATAAGAGCCGAGTGATAACTGAACACTTTCCCACATTCATTGCAGCGAAATGGTTTCTCTCCAGTGTGAATGCGATGGTGTCTACTCAGCCGTGATATTGAAGTGAAGGCTTTCCCACAATGACTACACTCATACGGCTTCTCTCCAGTATGAATTCTGTGATGCTGGATTAGAGATGAGCACTGACTAAAGGCTCTCCCACATTCATTACATTTATAGGGCTTTTCTCCAGTATGGATTCGCTGGTGATTGTTAAGGGATGAGCTACCTTTAAATGTTTTGCCACATTCTTTACATTTATAGGGTCTTTCTCCAGTGTGCATTCTCTGGTGCCCAATAAGAGAGGTGGTGAAACTGAAGGCCTTTCCACATTCATGGCATATATAAGGCTTCTCTCCTGTGTGGACTCTCAGGTGCTGTGTCAGGGATGAGCTTTGGCTGAAGGCCTTCCTACATTCCTTGCATTTATAGAGCTTCTCTCCAGTATGGATCCTCTGATGCTTACTCAGGGAAGAACTGTGGAGGAAGATTTTCCCACACATATTACATTTGTAACATTTACGGACTGTGTTGACTCCCAGTTGCTTAAACAGAATTGAATACTGCTGTGAACGGGGTTTCCTCCCTCTGGAAATAGGTCCAAGTTTTCTGGTAAGTGATGTTGATTTTGGATCAAGAGTTTTCCCACATTCAATATCTATAAAGTTCTTCTCTTTCATATATGTGTTTTTGATAGTAACTAATACTTTCCCGAGAAGTTTGTTCTTTCTACCTTGTTGCTTCTCCAACTTGTCCTCATCAATGTAGGTTTTTCCAAACTTGAAATCCAAAGGACCATCCACTAGGAAATTTTTCATGGCTTCCTGATTTGCTTCTTTGGAAATGGTGGTTTCAAACAAGTTCTCCCATCCTAAAGTAAATAAAACATGTAAGTCTCCTTGCACGGGGAATAAGAGAAAATGACATCAACACTCAAGTATAGCTAACAAATGTAGCCTTGAAATCTTAGGGAAGGATGGGAACCAGAGCCTAAAAAAAAGCATAATGATAAATATGCATGAGTGGGACAGGTCCATAGAAACCTACATGCAGGGAGGCTAAGGAACTCAAAGGGAAGCTCTTCCAAGAGGAGGAGGTCACCAGGAGCAAGGTACATCTAGTAGAGCTTGTGATTTCTTTGCTTCACCTCCCAGGTCTACTGCCAGTGCATACAGATATATCGTAATGGAAAACTGTAGAGGGGCTAACAATAAGTGCCCTAAAAAGCTTATGTGCAACATAGGGTTTTACAATTGCTACTGTGGGACTCAACGGAGTGCTACAAATCATGTGGTGGACATTCACCCCATTGACACTTACCAAGGGTCTACCTACAGAAAGAAAGGTCAGAACTCTGGGAGTAACAGGGAACAGGGCAGGCAAGGGCTAACACTTACAGGCTTATAATCTAATAGCCAAAGACTGACAACGATGAACAACCAAATCAACACAGAAGTACTAGGGAATGAGAACTGCAAGATAACAAACAAACAACAAAGTAATGTGTAGTAGCAGTGAATGAGCTGATATTTATAATAGGTAATAAGGAAATGACATTTAAAGATAATCTAACTAACAAGAGCAGGATAGGCAAAACTGTGGATATAAAGATGATTCTAAATAGAAAGGACAAAGGCCCGGGGCTGGGGATTTAGCTCAGTGGCACAGCGCCTGCCTGGCAAGTGCAAGGTCGTGAGTTCGATTCCCGGTACCAGGAAAAAAAAAAAAAAAAGGACAAAGGCCCTAGGATAGGAATAGGCTGTCTGTGGTCAAGATGTGGTGAGAAAGTCCAGGGTGGCTTATGCAGAGGGGACAAAGAATGCTGCTAATGGGGAAAAGAGGTAGGCAGGGCCATATTAGGGAATTACAGAGCATTCAAGAAAGCATTTGGAATTTCTTCTAAACATTGCTGGGGGTTAGCAGAATATGATACATGGTTTTTGTTTTAGAAGGACCATCTTCATTCTATGACAAATGGGGAAGAGAACAAAGGCAGGTGCAGAGTGTTTTTGCATGTAAAAATAACTTTCACTTAAAAATAAAATGGGTTGAAACTAAACTTCCCCCATCTTCCCCTTCCTCACCATTTCAATAAATATAGACCAATATTTTAATGGCTGTATATGTCTAAAGTGTGATTGTTTAATAAATGCCTTCCTGAGTCATTTAACTTCTTTTTATTTTATTTTATTTTATTTTATTTTTTTGGTATCAGGAATTGAACTCAGGACCTTACACTCGTCAGGCAGATGCTTATGCCACTGAGCTATATCCCTGGCCCTTAACTTCTTTTTGTACCTGTTATTCTTATAGTCATAATTAACTTTTTGCAATTTCTTTGCAACTTGGTAGAATTATGGAATTATTTTAAGATAAAAACATGGAATTAAATTTTAGTGTTGGCAAATCTAATGCCATATCATTTGTGTTGTTCTGTTGTATCAGTCTATGAACACACTATCATTGTGTTCTGGTTGTTATTGTTTGCTTTTTTGTTTGTTTAATTTAGAGACAAGTTCTTGCTAAGCTGACCAGAATGGCCTCAAATCCTCCCTCCTCACCCTCCCTAGTACATAGCTAGGATTACAGGTATGTGCTACTGTGCTCAGCACAGAACTGATTTTCAAAAGGCCAGGCCTCTAGAAAGACTGTGCCATTCAACATCCTATTAAAGATGCAGCTTACTACTCAGAGCATTCGCAAAACTCTAGATATGTGTTTCTTAACGTTTGGTAATTTAATAAAGGGAAGTAGTATTTCACTACTATAGTCTGAATTTCATTGATTACAATGAAGTTAAACATTTTTCAAAATATCCTTTGAAGATTTTGGGTTCACTGTATTTTCAATCACAGTATTATACTTTCAATATATTGAAATTTTCAATATATATTTTCAATCACAATATTTTATATTTTCAATCACAATACTCATACCTTTGTGTTACAATTATTTGCTCTTTGCACTTTTTCTTTATACCTCTTTACATTATACCTGTGTATTCCCATAGCCATATCAGCAATATTAAAAATAGGTAAAAACAAGAAACTAAAATTTCCAAAAGACGGTATATTAAAATAAGGCTTAACAACACAATAGACTGCTTTTGAAGAGGTGAGCCTGCAGTTCCTTGAATAAGTGAAGGATACTAACAATTTAAAACAGTCTTGAGAATACATAGAATCAATCTGTCTTTCTGTCTCCCAAGCAGAGATACTCAGTCAGTCTGAATGGAGAATAGTACACTATTAACAGTGGTTGATTTACTAAATTACAGATGAATCCCCTTCTTTTGTTCCCTTCAATCTCGATCCTGTTCGCTGTTCTTTTAAAATATCAAATATAACTTGTACAAACTAACATTAATTCATTAAGATGCCTGGAAAAACAAGTCAATTTGGTATTAATGATTTCTTTATCAACCAGAAAGCTCAGAGCCAGATCTGTAACTCATCTATAGCTACCATTCTTGTCCTGATAATATAGTTATTTTCTAAATTTCTGCCTAGAATTTCTATTGTATTATGTAATTATTCTTGCAATCAGAGTCCCCAAATTGTTGGTGGAAGGTGATGAATATATGTAAGTACATAGCAGAAATAAAAGATTCCTAAAAGAAAAAAGACTTGAATTGCAAATGGCCCAGTGAATGCCAATAACATTAAAAAAAAAAAAAAAAACCCTTGTAAAATGTAATGAATTTCCTGAACTCCAAAGTTAAAGAAGATATTCTTTAAGATTTTAGACAGAAGACAAAAAAGAAAAGAAGAGGCAACCTGCACTGCAGAGAAGAGAAAGAGACAGCCAGGCTGACCTATCAACCACACCCAGAGGCCATAGGGTAGTCTGGACTCCCGGTGAGGAAAACAGTGATGCCAGATTCTAAATGCAAAAGACAATTCTCCAAGGAGAGAAGAAAAAAAAAAAGAAAGTTGATTTTAAACTCATACAAATATCACACACATAAAACTCTTTGAAAAAATTATTCATAAACATGTTCTAACTAAACCAAGGAGAAAAATCTGAAGATCAAGTTCATAAATGGAAACCTAAGACTCAACTGACCAAGAAAGATTATCTCCTGCCAGAGAGAGAAATGATTTTTGGGTAAGTGGCAAAGCTCAAGACAGCCAGCCTCTAGTACCAAAAACAAAGGATAAACATCAAAGCAGGACAGTCCACAGGAGTTTTAGAGAATCAGTAATATGTTGTAGGGGCCAGAATCTGGAAATTTGAAAAATTTTGCAGGAAAGCAAAGAATCACATGATAAATACTTACAACCTGCTTTAATTGTATAACTCTTACCTTTTTCGCTATACCTCTCTTTCTTGTATGTATATACATTTTCTTGTATGTATATACATACATGTACCTCTACCTCTTGGTTTTTTTTTTGGCTGAACCATGTGTAGTAAGATGCAAACAAAAAAAGTAAAAAAAAAAATCTCAAGAGGGAACAGTGAGGAACATATGACAGCACTAAAGGGTATATTCATAGACCACAAAGTAAAATAATGGAAAAATCCACTAAAAAACAAGGAAAAAAGTGGAAGACATAGAGGCACAGACATTCACACATTACATATCACATTACACATTCTGCAAATTACAAGACTCATTTGACAAAAGTGCAATCCATCGTGGGAGAATTCATCTCTCCCTCTGAATCTGGTGAGTCAAATTAAAAGCAGAAAGGGGGCAATGCCACCACCAGCATTTCCCTCCTGGCCTGGCACATCCTGGCTGGTGAGCAATAAGTGTCTCCTGCACTCAACCCCTCTCCGAGCCACACCATTTCCCCAGCACTCACCTAGACATATGCCTCGCAGTGCTCTGGTTCCTACCACCTGGGCGTCTTCTGTCTGCTCTAACTGGGAGATGACCTCTGGCTTGGAAAATAGAATCCCTGTGATGAGTAAGAAGACGACATGACTGGCCATCCCATCCTGGCAGAAATACTGCACTGCAGTCCCCAGGACAAGGGGGGACACGGGAGGGGGAAGTATGGTCACAGAGGGACTTAACATTGAGCTCCTGGAAGATGGCCAGGCAGTGATCCCAGGATGGCGCTGCACTCTCCTAAGCTGGAACATTTTAGGGATCTCAGAGAGACAAAGTGGGTGGCCGGGTGCTGGGGAAGGCAGGAGCCAGGGAAAGCATAAAAGAGAAGGTGCTCTTTGTCACCTTAGGCCAACCGGCATCTCTCCATACAGCTGAGGGGAGCAGCGAGCAGCCACTTTCTGAGCATCTCTGTGGCCAGAACTGACCAAGCCCTTCAAACCTCATCCCTCACAGGGCCCATGACACTCCCACAGATCTGCATCCCAGGGAGAGGCCTTACCTAGGGAGACCAGGTTGCTGTAGTTCTCTAGCATGACCTCCCGGTACAAGCGTCTCTGACCATGGTCCAGGTGCAGCCACTCATCCTGGCTGAAGAGCACAGCCACATCCCTGAAGGTCACAGACTCCTGAAATGGCAAAGCCATTCCTGCTCCACTAGGAGCATCCTCACAGTGGGAAGATCCAAAGCAAACCCTGTCACTACTCAGGGTTTTACGTCTAGCAAGGTGTTCTGGACAATGGTTCTGTCACTGAGTACATTTATCATGTGCCTGAGGGGAGGAACACACTGTGCCCTCAGGAAGCTTCCACACAGCAGCCAAGTGTCAAGAATACTTGAGATCGAGGAACAAAGATGGAACAAGAAGCACACAGAACTTCAGTCTTGGAAATGTACAGTCATCCAGCCCAAGCACTCATAGTTGACACAAAGAGTCACATTTAAAAGGTGACTCTAGCTCCCTCACTTAGAGGGCTAGTGGGAAACCATCTAGTGTTCTGGAAGACAAGTAGAAGGTACCACTTCCGCATCACTTTTGGCCACTTCTGTGTGCTGGGGGAGAGGACAATGACTTCACCACAGCAAAGCTCAGGAGAGGGCCCAAGGTGGCAGGCTGCACAGCCTTTGAATAAGAACCATGGGAGCAGGATATGGTCAAGATTCCTGGAAGCATTTGCTCCTCCCTCTCCTACCTCACTGCTGCCCAAGTCATTGCTCTGAATCACTAGTCCCTTTCTTTTCTTATTAAAAATCATTACATTTTTAGTAGGACACATTAATTGCATATATTAATGGCATTCACTGTAATATTTCCACACATGGATACAGCATATATGGACCATTTTTTAAAAGCAAACTAGGAAAGACCAGTAACCAAGAGAACAAAAAATGTTAATCTAACTTTCTGCCACCAGAATACATGGTAACTTTTTACTGTATGTCTTTTCAGACTTTTTTACATGTAAATATGGTTCTATAGTCAACCAAAAAATAAAATTATGTTATACTATACACCCTAACTCAATATTTTTTTATCACTGTATGCATAAACTAGTTTGTTTAATCTATAGGCAGATGTTTATGTTGCTTCCCCTTCAAATGCTGGGTTTAGCACCCTTGTACATCACCAGAAAAGCACACAGAGATTATTTCCTTAGCATAATTTCTAGAACACTATATCACAGCTTGCTTTCTCTTTACCTCCCCCAAAGTACACCCCGTAAGCCTTGGCAGGAGACCACAAGGCCAGGATCTTCCCTAATGTGTAAGAGCAAAAGCAAGTTAAGAGTAAGTGCTTGGGGATGGGCTACAGCTCAGTGGCAGAATGCTTGCTTAGCATCCAGGAGGCCCTGCGTTTGATTTTTTTTTTTTTAAAGTGGTTTGATTCTCCCTGTTAGAAACAACAAAGGAAGTAGCAGTTCCCTCTACATCTTTTCTTTCACAATTTCTTGCTTTTTCCTTTTCAGATATCTTTTTGATGGCTTGTCACTGGCCAATCTCACAACCCAAGAAGATTTTCTCAAGGAAGTGGTAGCCATCTCTGAGTGGAGGAATTTAATCATCAAAAAATTCCTAACAAATGAAAATTCAGCCAATCACAAGCACCAACCAAGCATTAATTGTATTATTAGGAACTTTATGTGGGGACAGTCTAAATACTTCAAACTTTAACCAAAATTTTTTGTTCTCCACTTCTCCATCCTGTAAAAGTATTCTCTTGCTCTTTTGGGTGAAACCCCCAACCACTTGTAGCCTGGCATCTGTTCAAGGCAACTCTAAAATTTTAATATGCCAGTCTATCCCATTCTCCTAGGAAGAGATGGGCCTAACTTGCACCTGACTCGGAACTGCACAACTTCCTAATATATTAGGTGGCATCACCTAGCCATTTAAGGTAGGCTTTTTCTGTGGCTTTTTTAGCATCATAATCTGGTTTTTTATTCAGTAATAAAATGATCATCTTTTTCTTTTATCTTTGTGGAGAGATCTTCTGGGTTGAGAGATAGTGTTTTTAATTATATTTCCTCACTAACCTGTCAGTCATACAGATTAAGTGGCAAGAAATGGCAGAGCAAGAAATTCTTGGGAGGAGGATGCTTCCTAAATTAAGGCAACAGGGCCCTACACCATTGCCCAAATTTCCATTTCCTCTGGCCACCCTCCATTCACCACCTATACAGGCCTGGTCCTATGCAAGGCAGTCTCCCTGACAGCTCCTATTGACAAAGAGTTTCTTTCTAGAAAATCACTCAGTCTCCTATTATGTAGTCATTTTTTGATATCTGTGAGTGATTAGTTCTAAGACTCCCCGCAGATACCAAAAGCAAAGTATGCCTGAGTCCCTGTCATTGTTTATATCTAGGTGTCCCCCAGCAGCTTTATGGTCTCACAGGCGGAGCTTTTGAAAGGTGACTGGTTTAGAGCTGACTCATAGTTTGAAGGTGTGGTCTGGCAGAAAGAGGTGGGTCACCGGAGGAGTGGCCTGAAAGGGTGTTCCTCCTTTATCTCTCCCTGCTTGCAGAGCTGAGCCGCTTTCCTCTGTCTTGTGCCTCTGCCATGCTGTCCTGCCTTGAGCCGGCTGATTGGAGACTGAAACAGGAGCCAAAATAACCTTTTCCTCCTTTAAGCTGTCAGTGTTGGTATTCTGAGTAATGAGAAGGTAACTAAAACAGTCTGTTATATAAAAGGGTGCAATATTGCGTATCATTTATGCACACGCTCCCATACACTTTAAATCACCTCCTGATAATACTTAATACAGTGTAAATGCAAACAGCCATTGTACTGTACTTTTTAGGGACTAATGACAAAAAATAAAGGTCTGTAAATGTTTAATACATACTCAATATTTTTCAAATATTTTTGTTTTACAGTTGGTTGAATCTGCCTATGCAGGACCTACCGATGTGGAGGCCCAACTGTACTCCCCTATGTTGGCTGTCTTTGGTTCCTTGAGGCCAAACAACATATTTCTCTTTGAATCCCTGGTATTGGGGATTTAACTCCTCCATGTCTTTGTCTTCCATTGAGCAAAATGGTACCTAGATTCCTCACAAGGCCCTGGCTGTGGCAGTGGAGAGGGCTGGGGCCTCATTCAATTCCTAGTCAACAGGTACTTTGCTGGCCAGGGAAACTCCTTCCTTCCAGAGTGCCCCACCTACCAGGCCTTCCGGTGCCTCCACAGGTTCCGCTGCTTAGAGAAGCTCAACAATGGATAGAACGACTTTGCCACCTCTGAACCCTGAAGGCCCAAGGAAGAGGCCGCTTTTCACTCACCTGAACCTGGGCAGGCAGCAATCTCCTGGCCATTTCTCCCTCCCTGCAGTCCTTCCCGGAGAAGGCACCTGGAGCGGAGAAAGAAACAGAGCTAGTCATCCTGCCTGCACTCCACCCACACCAGGCCCAATCAGGTGAGAACCTCCGCCCCAGGCATCTGCTCTGGGTAGCTCTTCCTAGCCAGAGGGGCTCTGGGTATGGCTTTCTACCTTTATCAGCCAGTAATTATGAGTAATGATGCATGAAAGGAAGAGATTAAAACCATCCCGTGTGCATTAACAAAAGAAAGGGCACAATCACTCTTAGCTCACAGAGATGTTAATTAATGTTGAAGGACAAATATTTCACACTTGTGCACTGGGGCTCAGGAATAGCATCGGCGTCTAGAGGAGAATTTAAAATACAGAGAAAAGGGGCTCAGGCGTAGCTCAGCGGCAGAACTCAGGATTCGTCAGGCTCCATCCTCGGCATCTTCCCTCCAAAATAATAAAAATAAAAATTTAGAGAGGAAAGGAAGGAATTTTGCAAGTGGGCAAAGCTCATCAAAGAACATAGTTAAATCACTCATGGATTCGCTGTAGGAAAACAATGTCAAACACGAAAGACTGACAAAAGCAACGAACAGGAAAAGTTTAAACGGGGTAGGGGGATGACCCCACAAACAGGAACTGCCGAGCGCCGGCCCGGGGCGCCCAGACCCCGAAACCGAGCGCGGCTTCCGGCCGTCTCTCCCCCAGGCCCTCGTAGGCGCCGGCCGCCGCGGGGGCGCG